GGATGAGAAGACACTGATCACATCCTTAATAGGTAAATATACAGCATTCGTGCATAATCGATGCCCAGTCTCAGAGGAACTCTCTGTGATACCACTCTCTGGTGGTTGAAAGTGTTAGGGAAAGACTTGTGGGATGTCGATGTTCTAAGAGACAACCACGTAAAACTATAACAATTGTATATGTTATTCTCGAATGTACAGAATAGTTGCTCGCAAGTTTGCGGGCCCTGAAAAGGGCCGTTTGTTTGACCGTGCTTGCACTAGTAGCGTTAGCTGCTTTGTAGCAGACCAGGTCTTCTTTATGGCCGTTCAGCTGGTCTGGCTAGCCGGTAATGCGGTGTTGCATGCGCTGGTAGGAACAGCTGCCTATGGTGCGGATGATGACAGCAGTTGTCTCGGCACAGTTGCTGGAGAGCTGTTGCTGCTTCATGGGGTCAGAGTAGCTGCGTTAGCTCTCTTTGTCGTAGTGAGGACGATCGAAGAACTGATGATAGCGAGCTTTGAGCTCCGCCTTTTATACCATGCTTGTTGGGCGGAGCTAAAGTTGCAGTAGCGATTGTGAGCGCTGACTGGCTAGCGCATGTGATGATCTACAGGTGGGCTGGACATCGAGTGCTGTATAAATATGAGTGCTGGCCGCAATGTGACATTGACTTGGCTTGAACAGAAGTTGAATGCTGTCTGTTAGACGAAGCTGCGTGTTAGTATGTGGGGGTTCCCACATCACTCCCCCCCTCGCGAAAATTGATGCTCATATGTTCAGGCGAGAGGGGAAATGGATGTGGCTCCCAGAGCGTGTAGTCCTTGTAAGGAAATGTGTTGGTATGGCAGGTGGTCCTATGGTCGGGGTCGCTGCGGCTGGTGGGTTGATGCTGTTCCCGCGGTCAGTCTCTTGTAGGATGTAGGCTGGCTTGACCCTGTTGGCTGACACAGTGACGTGCCTTCCGCGCACGAGGAGTTGCATCATCTTTCCGTGACAGGACCCAGTAGGGGCAGCTCTAGAGGGGCTCCAAAGCCCGGCGTGTTGACAGAAGACGTGGGTGTACTTCTCAAGGTCACTGTGCACGAAAGTAGTTGGGGGAGGCGTAGCGTGTTGCTGGGACTGGTCGGAGGCGGGCCACATGCTGGCAGAGCTCTGTGATGATGTGCGCTGGATCCGCGGGGTTGGCACCTGGAGTTAGTAGCACGTCAGGGATTCTTAAAGGCTCGCCGTACACGAGCTCAGCTACCAATGCTTGCAGGTCCTCCTTGAATGCAGTGCGGATTCCGAGGAGAACCAGGGGAAGCGCCTCGGTCCACTGTTGGTCCGCGAGGCACATTATGGCTGCCTTCAGTGTCCGGTGGAAGCGTTCCACGAGTCCGTTAGCTGCTGGGTGGTGGGCGGTTGTACATGAAAGCTGGATGCCGCACAGCCTGGCAAGGGATTTGAAGAGTTGTGATTCAAACTGGCGTCCCTGGTCGGTGGTGATCGTCTGCGAGCAAGCGAAGCGTGATATCCAGCCATTCAGTAGGGCGCGTGCCACTGTGTCGGCTGTGATGTCCGGAATGGGGACGACTTCTGGCCAGCGGGTGAAACGGTCGACTGCAGTGAGGCAGTATGTGTAGCCTGCTGATGTCGGAAGGGGTCCCACAAGGTCGATATGAACGTGCAGAAAACGGGCTGCCAGTGGTGTAAAGTTGCCCATAGGAGTGACTATGTGGTGGGAGACTTTGGAGTGCTGGCAGGACTGGCAAGCACATGCCCAGGTGCGGCAATCCTTCTGCATGCCTGGCCACACGAATCGGTGTGCGACCAGCTTTGCTGTTGTTCTGTTGCCTGGGTGCCACAGATCGTGGACGGACTGGAACGCTTGGAGACGTAGAGGCACCGGAACGAACCCCCGAGATCTCCCGGTAGACATGTCGCAGTAGATGGGGACTGCGGTACCAGGGATTGGTACTTTCTCAAGCTGCAGGGCGGTGGTTGACCCCAGGAGTGTTCGGAGTTCATCATCGCTGTCCTGTGATGCGACTAGTGCGTCGTAAGGTGGTGGCACAGTGACTGACTCAACGCGAGAGAGGGCGTCGGCGACAACGTTATACTGTCCAGAGATGTGTCGGATGTCAGTTGTGAACTGGGAGACGAAGTCTAGATGGTTGAACTGTCGGGGTGAGCATTTATCCCGCTTCTGCTGGAAGGCATAGGTGATTGGCTTGCGGTCGGTGAAGATGGTGAAGTGACGCGCTTCCAGCATATGGCGGTAATGCTATACTGCCTCATAGATAGCCAGTAGCTCACGGTCGTAGGCGCTGTACTTCTTTTGGGCAAGGTTAGGTTTTTTTTAGGTGAGGGCGAGGGGCTGGCAAGTGTTCCTTACGCGTTGTTGTAGCACGGCACCCATGGCAGACGTGGAGGCATCTGTGACGAGTGCAAGTGGCGCGGATGGATCTGGGTGGGCCAGTAGAGTGGCGCGTGACAAACTCGCCTTACACTCTTCGAATGCCTTGTGGAGCTCCGGTGTCCAAGTGATGGGATGGGAGCCCTTGACTTTGAGTCCGGAGAGGACGTCGTGCAGTGGTGCCTGCGTGGTCGCTGCGTGTGGCAGAAATCGCCTGTAGAAGTTCAGCATGCCTAGGAATCGTCGGAGCTGACTGGCGGTCTTCGGAGCTGGACAGTCCTGGAGATGGGCCAGTCGGTCATCCAGAGGTTCAGAACCCTTGGCGGACACCTTGTAACCGAGAAAGGTGACCTCGGGTGCTCTGAAGACGCACTTTGCTGGGTTGATAATGATGCCATACCTCTGGAATTGGTTGGAGAGAGCACGTAGCTGTTGTTCGTGCTCTTCGAGTGACCGGGAGAAGACAGCAGAATTCGAGTCCCTGTAGAATGTCGTCCATGAAGCGCTGGAAGGTCTGGGCGGCGTTGCACAGGCCGAAGGACATGAATGGGAATTCGAAAAGGCCGAATGTAGTGGTGATGGCGGTCTTCTGTATGTCTTCAGGGTAGGCAGGGATTTGGTTGTAGGCTCTCACCAGGTCAATTTTGGAAAAGACGGAACAGCCGAAAAGCTCATGGGAGTTGTCGTGGATATGGTGAACAGGGTAGCGGTCAGGAATGGTTCGGGAGTTAAGTACCCTGTAATCGCTGCATGGACGCCAACCGTTGTCTTTCTTGGGCACGATGTGCAGTGCCGAGGACCAGGAACCTGAGCGGCGAGCTGTACCATCCCGCAACATGGTGTCGAACTCGGCTTTTGCAATAGCAAGCCGGTCCGGTGCCAGTCGCCGTGGTCGGCAGGTTACTGCTGGGCCAAGTACAGTCCTGATGTGGTGAACGGTGTTGTGTCGTATCTTGCACTGGAATCCAGCTGGGTGGGTCAGGTCCGGGAAATCTGCAAGGATGTTGTCGACCGGTGTGTCGTTGCTGATGGTCTTTACACTGGGGATCAGTGCGTCGGCCGCTGAGGCCGGGGCTGACAGCGTCGTGACCCCGTACAGAATGCGGTTGTTCCGACAGTCCACCAGGAGACCGAAATGCGATAGGAAGTCCACTCCGATGATGGGATGCATGACGTCTGCCACCACGTACTGCCACGTGAAATCTCGGCATAGGCCCAAGTTGAGGCTGAGGGGCAGCGATCCATATGTGTGGATGGTAGTGCCGTTAGCTGCACACAGGTCATAGTTGGTATGTTCCTTACATCGAGAGACGAGCTTGCGGGAGTACACGCAAAGGTCCGAACCCATGTCTAGCAGGAACTACCGTTTGCTGACTTTGTCCATTATGAAGAGGAGGCCTATCGTAGCGCAGACGTGTACCGCTGGTGATGTCTGTTGTGTCAGTTTCCCTGCTGGTGGTAGGAGCAGGGCGCCAAAGCGGCGGTGGTACCAGCAGGTAGTGGATGTGGTGTCACCACAGGCGGGGCATCTGCTGACCGGCCAGCGGCCCCTGAAGGCGGGGCGGGAATCCTTGGGACTGGGGCCTCGGTCTCTTGGGTTGGGGTCGAGCTCCTTGAAGTGGGCGTGGAGGCGATCCTGTCCGGCGCTGAGTGCAGCCACTTGGCGGGAGAGGTCAGTGATCTTCTGCCGAAGTGTTGCATTGTCCGTGGGTTGACCTACGCTAGCAAGCGCCTGCTGGATCTCAACTTTGGAGATGCCGTCTGCACAGAGGGCTGCAGAACTTTATGTGCTCGCTGCTAATGCTGGCCAAGGTGAATTGCTCCTCAGCCTGGGTGAACCACACGGCTGGTTGCTTGGGCCAGAACAACGGGAGCCGCACGGCCACTCTGGACACTTCTGCTGGCAAACTGTCAGCAGCGTCCTTTCTGAGTCGGAGTCACCAATGTGGGATTGTCGATGTTCTAAGAGACAACCACGTAAAACTGTAACAATTGTATATATTAAATTGTATAAATTGAATGTACATAATAGCTGTGAAGCTATGTTGAATACCGATGTTCAGAAGTTGGCTGACCCTGAAAAGGGCAGTTTGTTCCGCCGTGAGTGCGCTGGCAGAATTTGCTCCTTTGTAGTAGACCAAGTCTTTATGGCCGTTCAGCTGAAGAATTTAAGAAGGGCTACCAACCTAGGTTTAATATGGCAGAAGATAAGATGGTGATGTCATTGATGATTCCTTCAATGTTTTTAACACAGAGACATTTCTGTCAGCTATTAAATGTACGTGGGATTAACAGTGTTTAGCAGACTGAAATACCTACAGTTGAGTTATTAGTACCTGAGCATTAAAAGGGTGGGTAGTTTTTGACTTTTTGAGCAAATGATAGCTTTCAGGAAGTATTTTCCTTCTTGGCGCTGCTTAGATGGCTCATTATATAGTGAATATCATTCCTGATTTGTGTCTGGAGGTCATCGATGACTGTCAGAAAATAGCAGGCCTTGTGTCACCTTACTCATACTCCAGAACATTGTCTAAAGAAGCTAAGTTGCCTCCTCCAACATGCTTCTGTTTACATGTCACTGTGAAAGAAACTGAATGACAGACTTTATTTTTATTACTGCAGGGCATACCGAGGCTAGACCTCTGTGGCGGTCCACCACAGTTTCACATCTTCATTCCCTGCCAGTGACACAGAATATGATACTAGCGTCATCAGAGACCACAGAAGAGGAAGAGAAACAGTCAAATGGTAACGCATTCTGAATGGTGTGATTTACAAGCGACCTCTTAATTTTGACATCTTCAATGCGAAAAGGCGCCATATTGCATAGTTGAAATTGCGATGTTTTATAAGTGTTATGAATAGAGGACACCACTCGCCATCACTGGCTTACTTCCTGCTAATACGAGACTAACATTGCGTGTGCGCGCTTCGCGTGGAAAACAGAGTTAATTACGGAAAAAGTGCATGAATTGCGACGTCGGACTCTGCATTCAGTGACATGCAACATTCAGTTAGATGATGCAGGAGGGAAGACAGTCTACTTATAAAGCTGGTGTCCAAAAATAATGTAAGTAGAAGAAGAATTTCTATCTTAAAATTAGATTTTAAAACACTGTGCTCACGCGTGGACTGCGCATACCCATATGGTGTCTTTCGGCCACTCGGCTTTACTTTAAAGGTCCCCATACAGTGTCTTTCGGCTCATAAAGGTTAATGGACTACATGGTGTCATATGCCAGAAAGTAGAACTCTTCATGACTCCCAGTGTGAGAACCTCAAATCCTACACATTATTATTAATCGCTTGAATTTCTTAGGAGTATTTATGTACTGATCTCAATAGGCAGAGGCAAATTGTGGAATCAGCATGAATGCAAAACAACAATGGCAAAAGTAAAACCAGCACAAGGTCAAAATAAACAAACAGAAATAATTGAATCAGGTAATGTTTTTGCATTTAAATGTAAATTTATAGAAGTATCTGTCGATTTACAAATTGCATTAGCAGCAGAAGCCCATCTGTCTGAGAGGCAGTGGCTGGAGGAGTAACTGAATACATGCATTTCAAAAACAAGGTTAGCATTTAGTGTCATTATGAACATTTATTAGAAATAAAGCATCAGAGAGGTTTGATGTGATATGTAACATCTACAAATTTGATTTTCCCAATAAATTATCATAAGCAATACTGAATGCAGTGGAACCCCGCTTAACGAGCATAATTCGTTCCAGAATCTTGCTCGTAATGCTAAACACTCGTTAAGTGAAACAATTTTTCCCGTGTAAATTAATGTAAAATACAATAATGTGCTCCATGTCGAAAAAAATACTCAAAAAATGTTATGTATAACGTTTATTCAAAGAAAATTATATATACATTGTTAAGGAGTGTGAATCATCTTCATCTTTTCTTCTATGTGGAATGAACCAACCTGGAATGCGAATTCGATTTGCAGAGAACAAAAAAAAAATCGAAATAATTAGTTTATTATCTATGATACATATCTAATCCTTTTTTACTAGAAAGATGTCTAGAGACATTTGTTTCTGCCGACGCTTCAAAATTTGGTGAAAATGTGACACAGGATTATCATTAAATAAATTTGTAGTGCTTTTCAATGATTTTATGTTTCATTTCTACGGTTGTTTTTATTCTCTTATGGCTGTCTTTTGCGGCTTTTTCTTTGGGGACATTTTTGAAAGGGTTATTAAACTTTGCACAAAAAAATCACAAATAATATGTCTGAACACAAGTTTGGAAAAATGTGTGATCACAAGCGACACTAAGATGCTAGCGGAACGAGTGCTAAATACAGACTGATGTAGCAAGCGCACAATCCGGGACTTCCCCTCTTGTCACTCGTTATGCGAAACGTCGCTCGTTAAGCGAGTCATTTTTTTACAAATTGTTTTGCTCATTATGCGAATTACTCGTTATGAGAGGTGCTCATTAAGCGAGGTTCCACTGTACTCGTTTTTTAACATTTACAGGAAAACTCATGCACATAATACATGTGAAGCTTTTCCTCTGAAGTGTTGGTCCCCTTCTGATGATGGACATCATTGGCCAAAACATATAAAGGTTTTATTTTATTATTAAAATCATTGTTGCACTTGATGGATTTCAGTTCTGGTTTTAGTTATATTCCAAGTAAGATTTACTGCTTCAGAAACAGCAGTTAGAACTGCATCATGTAATTTTATGTGGCAGACCCTATGATTGCAATATGCAGTATACATTTCTAGAAGAAAACTGAGACTGGAAAAGGATTTATGTAGCCATGTTCCAGTTACACATATAATTTAAAAATTAGAACACACACACACATTGCTAAAAGATTAAAAAAAATGTAGTCCTAGATATATGAACATTTTGATAAAAAAATGTGTACGTCATGTATTTTTTTGTTTAGTCTTGTGGTGTGGGAAGACTGAGTTCCTTGGCATTGAGCTCACAAGTGGGCACATTGTACCAGCCCTAGATGATTGGTGATAGATTGGAGCAATTGTAGAAGGATAATTGGTCTTTATTTAAAATGACGACTGTTGGGCTTGCCACCTGCTTCTTGCTGGCTACTTGCTTCATTCTTCAGCCCTGAAGAAGGGGGCAGTATGATTCTCTGAAACGTCAGACTTCTACTAGACTACATGGTGTTACATCCTAGAAGATAGTGATCTCCATTACTATATCTGTTTTTAACCAGAATAAGGAATGCCTACAAATTTCAGCGAAACTCCGGAATATAAATTTTCATGAACATTTTTCATTGGTTCTTCAGTCATTACATGTAGGCAGACATACATACTGACAGACACGGAGAAGCTGCTGTGCAGGTTGGCAGCCTTTTATTATGAATGTGCCAAAAGACATAATTGCAAAAGTTTGTGCTTTTATCGTATTGGTCCTTGTTACCTTTTGGCAGAACTCAGTGATGTGTCTGTGACATTTAGCTCCTCATTATTGTTTTTAAGGGTTCCTTTTTGAATGAGAGGCAATAGCTTCGAGACACTAAACCTCTGCATTCTGGCTAGTATTGTGTGTTATGTATGGTTTTCACATTAAACAGTGATTGTTTCCCCAAAGAGCATTAACCAGTTGGACTTTAACAGAGACATAATGTGTTTCCTACGAGATATTAACTGAATGTTATATATTATTTGGAAGAAATAGAGTCTTTAAAGCCTTAGAGTGCAGAATGGATGAAAGGAAAGAAGAAGAAGAAAGGAAGTTTGAAATTTCTTAAGGATTAAATAAACTTCCCAACACCAGATACAACTAAACCTCGTGCAGTGGAATTCTGATTCATTATTCTTGCATTTGTTGAAATCGTATATTTAGTGGATTTTTTCTGGTTGTGGCCAAACCCCAATATAAATAATATTAATACTTGTCTTCAGTGAATTTTGATTTTGTAAAAAAACCTGCATGTAATGTAAGAAATTTTCAACACTCTAAAACTCCTGCCATGAATTAATGTATTTATGGCCTAAACAGCAATACATATTCATATGTTTCTCTTTGCTAGAAATTGGTTCTTGATTAATTTGATATTGCTGGTTATGAAATAATATTTATATGTGGAAAATATTACTGTGATTTCCCGTGTAAGTAAATTATTTTATTGTAATTATGTATAGTAAGTCTTATAAAACAGTGAACAATACCATGATGCAATTTTTCATAACTCCCATATAGTTGAAGCCTCAGTTTAGTGCAATGAAAATAATTCTTTCCAGAGATGTATTGAATATGAAATTCACTGTAGTTAACCAAATTTTTGTTATTGACAGAGCTCATCTCCAAAGTTAACAAGCAGCTGCAGCAGCAGAGAGAGGGACGCTTATTTGCTGTTGTGCACGTATGCGGCAAGCAGTTTAAAGTTACAACCGAGGATATAATCATCATAGAGGGGAACTGGGCTCCACAAATTGGAGACAAACTTAAACTTGAAAAGGTAAAAGAATCCCCACTTCACCTTTATTGTGTGGCAAATAATGTATAGTGACCTTTAGTTTACAATGGTTTGACATATGCCAATTTGAATATATGCTGGTTTGAAAAAATTGTAGGACTTTCCTTTGTTTTCCCCCCAAATTCTGGAAAATTATATATTGCGCAATTCTCAGCCTCTTACAGAAGAGGAACTGGACGATTTGGATGCACAATTGACTCAGAAATTCAGATACAGCAGCAGCAAGAACAAGAACAACTCATTTTATTGTCTGTAGAATTCTGGCTGGGATTGATACATACCTGCAAAGATTAAGTGGCATTGATCCTTACTGGGAAGGGAGCTGTTCTATGAGAAGAGTCATTGCACTATTGCAGCCTTATTACCATGTTCTCCAGGAGAGGAGGCATCAAGCAAGCCAAACAACCCTCCTTAATTCAAAAAGAAATATGAGGAACCTCCAGTTGATCCCAAGACGAAGGTGATCTGTTTGACTGTGACAATTCACAGCAAAGGCATTCCTATGGTCAGTAGTGCCTACATATGTGTATTTTGTTACAGAATAAATGTGATATAAACCCCTGTATATAATGTTTATGTTTACAATGTATGAACATTTTGTATTATTTTATGAAAGAGAGTCTCACCTTTCATTTACGCCAGTTCAGTATATTGTGGTGTACTTCCAGGAAGGCCGGACTGTAGAACGTCCACTGCTATTCAATGGCTAGCAATTCCTAGGCAACGAAACATAAACAGACCATTGCCTAGGGTGGTGCTTAAGCAACAGAGACCAAATTGTTGAGTTCCCATGGCAACGAATGGACCCTGCCAGTGAAAAGTCTAGCTAACACGTGAAACTGAAACCTTTGACAAGGTGTCTTCTGTCCAGTCCAAGTGTAGGATATAAAAGGGTAGTTGAAAGTGATTATATTCGGCATTCAAGAGAGATTCAGTAGTGATTAGTGAGCAGCAAGTGGAGTGAGGAGTGAATTCAGAGTGATCTGTTGTGTGTACTACAAAATATGTTTTGAATTGAAACCGCAGAAATTAAATTGTCTTGCAGATAAGTCAACTACACCAGGTCTTGACTGGAATTAGTGAACGGAACTAAATGTGCATTGGACAGAGTGGTTTATACGACTTCACGTTACATAGTGTACTCACGGCCAACACCTGTTTGGAGAAAGTGGTTTTGGTGTAGTTTTGCCACCTGGCTGCGGCTGTGCACAGTGATCTGTGACGCAACAAAGAACCCGTAAATCTGAATGTACACCAAGATGGTGGACGTTCTGGAACTGGAATACCAGAAATACTGGAGACAGAAGCTGTCAGCGCTGAAATCTGAATGTCATGCCATAACAAACAAGAACCCAGAAGCAGCTTCTGTAGTACAACAGGTACAAAAAGTGGTCAGTGACATTGAAAACCTCAACAAATGCACACTCGCTATAGTGGGGGAAAGCTCTCAGTGGACATTATTGTAAATAGTGTGGAGGAGAACAGAGTAAAATTTTGCAAGCTTTTAAATGGGAAGCCACTTTTCAACACCCTCTATGGCAGGTACACAGTAACACTGAAAAAAATGCAGGACATCCTGAAGGTGAATGCACAGGCAGGGCAAAATGGGGCAATGAACAAAGCCTCGTTGGAATCAACAGCCCAGGATGCTGACTTCCAGGAGTAAAGAGACGCAATAGGCATATCTCTAATGATACCTCAGAGACGGCCAAGAAGACGACCTAATCAATCCAAATATCCCCGGCTGTCAAGCAGACTCCAAAAGCAGTGCCAACTTGCAATGTCTATGCACCTCTCAGAACTAATGATGTGGACACGGAGACAGCTGGAGCAGAGAACACTCTAATGGAGCAGGAGGCTCCCAGAAAATCAGGTAGGATGCCACCAATAGTGATGACTTCTACCACAAACATAATTTGACTCCAAAGCAACCTAAAAGAACACGTCAAAGGAGAGTATGAATTCTGAAATACATAAATGGGACTCATATCATAACAAAATAAATGAAGGACTGTTCAGCCATGAAATCCTACCTGGAGAAAAATAATCTCCAGTATTTCACCTTCTTTCCAAATTCTGAAAAGCCTATCAAGGCAGTAATAAACCACTTTCCCCCAGACATGCCAATAGAAGATATTTCCAACAGCCTTGAGGGCTTAGCCTCATCGTCATCAACATGAGGCACTTGATGTCCAATCGAAGAGCACCAAATGGACAGACCTATCTGGAAACCCTCTTGCTATTCCTTGTTACCTTAGCAAGAAATGCAAAATCCCAAGAGATATTCAACCTGAATAGCATTAACCATATAATTATTAAGGTAGAATCATACAGAGCTCAAACCAGCCTTACACAGTGCTACAATTGCCAAAACTTTGGCCATGTCTAGGCCAACTGCAAGCAACCCCCAAGCTCTTAAGCTTTAGACATAAGTCGATACTGGCAGGAGATCTGAATGCTAAACATCCATTTTGGAATAGTGTTGTTTCCAACCCTTCAGGCATGAAACTGCTGAACTTACTGCATATAAATGAGTTAAATTTCAGCACCACGATATCCCACCCATTACTCTCCTACGGGAAATTGTGACATGCTCGATATTGTTGTGCACAAGAATATCCAACTGTCAGAAGTCAATGTCTCTGATATTCTGGACTCAGATCGCCTACCAATCGTTTTTCACTTGCTAGAGCATGTTAGAAATAGGAGTCTTTCGGAGCTGGTCGACAAATTCACAGATTAGAAGTGGTTTCAAAGCTTGGCCTCTGAATTAATTTCACCTAGAATCGAAATTAACACAGAGAAAGAAGCCAGTAAAGCAGCCCGCGACTTTACTGCCTCTATAGCTTCAGTGTATAGGCTATTGACAAGCAAAATTACACTCTCGGACATTAATAAGGACATATCTGGTCTGGAAAGTTTGCTGAAACATAAGCGGAGGTTAAGGAAACTGTGGCAAGTAACTCAGGATCAAGCATGTAAAATGGCACTCAATTGGGTCGCCAAAACCATCAGACAAATGACCCGTAGAAAGGCGCTAGAACGGTGGGAAACAGAAATAGGGAACTGTGAGGTCACTCCTTAAGCTCTGTGGCCTATTGTGAAATTGCTTTATGAAAAAGGATGGACCAAAGGCACCAACTGCAATTCATGGACCTTTAGAAATAACATATCACCCTGATGAGAAAGCCAACGTGATAGCGAATTGTTTAGAAAACCAGTTCACATCTCATGACTTATGTGACGAAAGCCATGTGCGACACGTGGAGACTACAGTCCAAGCTCTGCTTGCATCTGTAGAAGGCACTCCATTGGGGAAATTATGACCTTGTGACATACATAAATTAACAAATACATTAAAATTGCGAAAGGCTAGTGGACTTGATGGTATTCCAAACGAATGCCTCAGACATCTTCTGAGAAGACCACTGGCACATCTGACACACTTATTTAATCACTGCCTTGGGCTGTCCCATGTTCCAAAGCCTTGGAAGGAAGCAAAGGTTATAACATTACTGAAACCCGAAAGGACCCAAAATTTCCTCAAGAAATATGCCTGATTAGCCTCTTGTCTACAACAGGCAAGCTATTCGAAAAAGTTGTTCTGAAAATAGTCCAAAGGCACAGTGAAGAAAAAGGCCTTATTAATGCAAGCCAGTTTGGTTTCCGTGCCCGTCATAGTACGACACTTCAATGTATGAGGTTTATGGACCATGTAACCTTAAATTTCAACAATAACATCTAAAGCTGCTGTATTCTTGGATACTGGAAAAGCCTTTGATACAACATGGCACACTGACTTGCTGTATAAGTTATCTACATTACAACTTTCGATAAGTCTTAATCAAGCTTATTAGCTCTTTCCTTTCTCGGAGAAAATTCAGAGTTTCTGTTGAAGGTGAAATGTCTACGCCAAGGGATATACAAGCAGGAGTGCCACAAGGTTCTGTTCTCTCCCCCACACTGTTCAGTCTATATATAAACAATATGCCCCAAACACCTGGTGTATATCTATTTTTTATTGCCAGTGGGATGGGACTAAGTTCCTTGTACTGCAGCCACTTCTGGCCTATTGTACCAGCCCCAGATGATAGGTGAGAGTGATTGTGGAGCAATTGGTGGAATGAAGATTGGCAGGGGAAACCGAAGTACTCGGAGAAAACCTGCCCCAGCGCCACTTTGTCCACCACAAATCCCACTTGACCAGACCTGGGATCGAACCCAGGCCGCCGCGGTGAAAAGCCAGCAACTAACCGCTTGTGCTATGGCGCGGCCTGGTGTCTATCTAGGTCTCTTTGCTGATGACACCTGTATATATGCAACAGACTGCAAAGAGTGTTATGTTCTCAGAAAGCTGCAGCGAGGTCTCAGTGTTATTGACACGCTCTTCCTATATGCCTGCAGTGCCTATGGTTGCTGGTGTCTTGACGCAGTGCAGCTGCATAGGACTGCTCTGGTGAGGTGAACGCCCTCCCAGAGGATCCTTTCTCCTTTACAATTCTCCTTTTGCATGACTGCAACCTCAGTATGATGCTGGATGAGGTTTCTGTCCTAGTAGGGTTCAATTGCAGCAGCTTGGTATAGGATCAGTATTTGTCTCTTCAGGGAATTCGCTTTGCAGGTGCCCACCACCACACCACAACACATTAAGGGGGTTGCTTGCAGTTGGCCCAGACATGGCCAAAGTTTTGGCAGTTGTAGCACTGCATAAGGCCAGTCTGAGCTCTGTATAACTCTGCCTTGATGATAATATGGTTAAGGCTATTCAGTTTGAATGTCTCTTGGGGTTTTTTATTTCTTGCTAAGGTAGCAAGGAATAGCAGGAGGGTTTCCACGTGGGTTTGTCTGGTGGGTGCTGTTTGAGTGTCAGTCATTTGTCTCATGTTGATAACATTGAAGCCTAAGTTCTCAGGGCTGTTGGAAATATCTTCCACTGGCGTGGTTTAAGGAAAGTGGCGTATTACTGCCATGATAATTTGGGGAGAAGGTAAAATAGTGGAGATTATTGTTCTCCAAGTAGGATTTCATGGCTGAATAGTCCGCCATTTATTTTGTTATGATATGGGTTCCATTTGGTGTATTTTGGAAATCGTACTCTCCTTTGAATTGGGCTTTCAAGTCGCTTTGGAGTCAAATGAGGTTTGTGGTAAAGTCATCACTATTGGTGGTGGCCTACCTGGTTTTCTGGGAACCTCCTGCTCTGGTAGTCTTTTCTGTATGTTACAAGTCTCCATAGCCGTGTCAGTAGTTCTGAGAGGGGTGAAGAAGTTGCAAGTTAACTCTGCTTTAGGAGGTAGCTTGACAGCTGCAGATGTTGGAACTGGTTTCATCAGCTTCTTGGCTCTCTGTGAGCTATTAGAGATATATCTGTTGCATCTCTTTACTTCCTGGAAGTTGTCCTGGGTGGTTGATTCCATTGGGGTTTTGTTCACTGCTCTGTCCTGCCTGTGCACTCATCTTCAGGTCAGCCTTCAGTTCAGTCAGTGTTACCATGTACATGCCGTAAAGATTGCTAAAAAGCGGCATTCCAGCTAAAGCTTTGCAAAAGTTTGCTGTGTTCTCCTCCATGCTGTTCACAACAGAGGTCCACTCAAAGCTCTTCTCCACTTTAGCCCATGTGCATCCAGCAAGATTCTCAGTGTCACTGAGTAATTTATGTACTTACAGCACTACAGAAGCTGACTGACTCACAGCTTGTTCTGCTTATAACATCTTGGCACAGACTGCATAGAAAATACCGCTTCCCATTATTGTTGTATCCTCTTGTTGCTGTGGAAAGATGTTTGTTTATGGAGCTGTTACTTAGCAACATCTGTTGTATAGTTGCTTATTTTGTGGTCATTGCATAGCGGTGGGTCTACACGCCACACTGTGTTAGACTCTTCATGGGTATCTGTATGATTTTAGTTCTGGGGTTCAGTTTTTTTCACAGATGTCCATAGCAGTAGGTGGATATTGCAAAACATGAAAACTTCAATTTTCCCTCTCCGTTCATGTTTCTGAAGTTCGTTGTTGGTTTGGTTTGATGCCTTTATTTTCCACTTCATCTCTCTTAGTTTCAAGTATCTATATGCCTTTCCACAATTTTTATTGGGAATTTTCCTGTTATCTCCTATTGATGGATCCTGATCTCATGTGCTTAGGTAATTATGACACAGTTTGTCCAATGTTGGAGGTTAGCTAACAGAGTAGGTGGCTCCCACTTTTTCACCTGAGAATTGAAATAAATCTAGTTTCTGAAACACTATGTTCTTTGAAATACTAGAACCTTTTATAATTGGCTTTAACATTAATGTTATTTAGTGCTTGGATGAGATGGGATTATTTTTGTATACAGTGTACACTGGAAAGTATGGTTAGGAAGCTACTATAGGTGTTACAGCAGGGAGAGAACAGACTGTGGGAGTGGGCATCAAATTACCTGAACACTATGAACATCTTTCACCTATTGTATCCTTATTATTAATGCACCTGTCAACAATGCAACAATATTTTTTTTTAATATAAAATACATCTAAAATACGTTTCTCACTAGAAGTATAACTTATACACTAAAAGTGATCATCAAATTACTGAAATTCCTCTAGTTTTACATATGTTTCTACTCACTTTACAGCATGTTTTGGCCACACATGGGCCATCATCAGGCAATTTTCCTTTTGTTTTTAGAGAGACCACTACACTGTTCACTTGTCTGTCATCATTGTTTAGTTTCTATCTCATGGCTAACTCTGGCATTGTAGTTTTTGTGTGTCATGTTTCTCCTGTATATGTATTACTAGTGCAGTCTTCCTGTATACAGGAAAATTGCCTGATGATGGCCCATGTGTGGCCAAAACATGTTGTAAAGTGAGAAGAAACATATGTAAAACTAGAGACAGTTTAGTAATTTGATGATCACTTTTAGTATATAAGTTATGCTTTTAGTGTCTTAATGACATCTTATGATTTTAACAACATTGTAAAGTACTGAAGTGGCACTTTTTAGTGAGAAACGTATTTTAGATGTCTTTTATATTTAAAAAAATATATTGTTGCATTGTTGATGGGTGCTTTAATAATAAAGATAACCATTCAATGCAATGGGATGCTGAAATATAATAAAAAATATAATAATTTCATCTACTGTCTATCCCCTTGCTGAGATTTTACTCTTTAGCTGCCCTACCCATCCAGAAAAGTGCATTTTAACATCATCTCTGTGCTTATTTCAAGAACCATATTCCGGGGATGATGGGACAGGAAGGTGTAGCTCCATGCATTCTTAACCATGGATCTAGGTGGAGGTGATTGGCCAGCTTTCTGTTCTATCCACTTTGTCCCTGGAGAAAGAACTCCCTATATCTACTGAATAAGAGTCCAGGCATACCCCAGAGCTGGTCTGGCCATTGTGGCAAAGAGAGAAACCGAACTGTGGTTGTCAGGCCTGTATCTTAGTCATTTCAGCTCTGAATGATGTGCAGTGCCTTACATAATGGATCTCCAGTATTAGCCAGGAATGTCTTTGGAAACTGTAGAATGCCTTGGTCAGCATACCTGATGTCCTGGATATGATCTGAGAAAACATCACTTGTTTTCTCAGCGAGCCCTTGAGGTTGATTACCTCAGTTGATAATTTGCATTTTTATTTTTATTTGGAAGGTACCCAGTTTTCTCAGCGAGCCCTTGAGGTTGATTACCTCAGTTGATAATTTGCATTTTTATTTGTATTTGGAAGGTACCCAGTTTGAAATTTTGTATGGAACACAGGTGTCGTGATTGAGTTATTTTATGGTTTTTGTCACATTTTCAGGGGAATACTCTAAAATAGGCCTTGATTACATATTTCCTTTTCGCTATAATTGACTAACTGCAGGGAACAGAGTTCTTCATGAGGAGATATTAGTCATTCAGTTAGTAAAGAAACCCCCACCTTTCTTGGAGCCCAAAATTCCATTACTGTGGATACAAGAGACAAGAGCCCTCCACTGGACTGTATCTTGAGCCAGATGAATCCATTCCACATCCTTACGCCCTGATTCCATGAGAGTGAGTTTAATATTATCCATCTTCCCCTAGATATTCATTTCCCTTTCAACAAATATTTTGAATGAATTTCTGATCCACTGATCCAATCCTGTCTTGTATGCTTCACATAAAATACTCTCATGTGATAAAAAGTAATTTTTACAGTTGATCAACCATCTTTAATATCCTAAAAACAACTCAGGTGCCTTTATGATCTTGTTACAGGTATTATTGGTTGGGGGTTCTGATTTCTCCCTGATTGGACGACCGATTCTCTCTTCTGAGCTTGTATCGGTTCATGCAACGGTTATCGAAAAGGCCCTCTCGCACATCAAAACAATATTCAGGAAGAAAAAGAGGCAACAATATCAGAGGATAAACTGTAAGCATGGGACTGACAAGCATTTAAATAACTGCTTTAATCACTGAGCCAGCCATTTTTTAACATAGCTGCCATAAAGAAAAACGCAGCTCTAATTGGCACTAGGAAGGAGGTTGATCTAGAAGTAAACACAGAGAAAACTAAGTGTATGTTGATATACCTGATCACCAGGCTGCAGGTCAAAATTATAACATAAATATAGCAAACAGATCCTTTGAAAATATGGCACAATTCAGATATTTGGAAACGACAGTGACAAATCAAAATTTGATTCATGAAGAAATTAAGAGGAGATTGAACTCGGGTAATGCTTACTGCCATTCACTCCAGAACCTTTTTTCTTCTCATCTGCTGTCTAAAAACATACAAATTAGAATGTACAAAACTAATTTTGCCTGTAGTTCTGTATGGATGTGAAACGTGGTCTCTGACATTAAGAGAGGAACATAGACTTAGGGTCATAATACAAATTCCACCATCACCACAACTATAATTTATTAACTTATGTTCCAGTACATGTTTCGACCCTTATAGGGTCATCCTCAGGTGTTGTGATTTACACATCTTCATTATTGAATTGTAAAGCATGTATACATACGTGTATTTACATGCATAGGCTTGTCTGATTCTTCTACTATTGGTTAGATTCGTTTGTGTTAACTGTTCCTTAAGCACAAATTTATCTTCTTTCTTATTTCCAGGATGTCAATGGTTATTGTTTTTGTGTTGTCTGATTTATGTGGTATGCTCTGCTGTGTGGTCTATACTAATTCTATGGTAGTAATAGTGGTCTGTACTACTTCTGTCCAGTATAATTAGAATAATTAAATAAAGGAGGATGAGCTGGGCAGGGAATTGGGGAAGAGGAATGCATATAGGATATTGGTATGAAAGCCAGAAGGAAAGAGACCACAAGGAAGACCAAGGCATAGGTTGGTGGATAATATTAAAATGGATATTATAGAGCTAGGATGGGGTGATAGGGACTGGATTCATTTGGCTCAAGATAGGGACCAGTTGTGGGCTCTTTTGAACACGGTAATAAACATTTGGGTTCCATAACATGTTGGGGAAATTCTTGAGTAGCTACACAACTGGTGGCTTCTCAAGAAGGGTTCAGCTGAATGAAGCAAGTAAGTTATAAGTGCTACATGTTTCGATTCCATCAACAAATGCTTCTCTCTACTGTAATTACAGCTCAGTTCAGATGTAATAATTAAGAAATAATAGAACTTTGTTGCTGTCTGCTGGAGATAGTATTCATAATTACTCTAGAGCTAATTAAGAGTACTGTCTTCTGGGATGCTATACCAAAGATCATGGTAGAAGTTTGAGCCAGTAAAATTCTGCCAGACTACACAGCGTCACATCCCAGTAGATAGGACTCTTCATACTCATTGCTATGAGAGCCTCATCTCCAACATATGTAGGTGATTCCTCAACTGGCTGCATGCAAGGTGGCCATAGCTGTAGGGCTGTATGCTGGGTTTGGTGCTGTTTTTGCATTATAGGTTGTAATGTCACTCATGACAGTAATAATAATTGCCTACAAACATTCATCTTACTGCACTCTTCCCACTCCAAGATTCAGATTAGAATTGGTCCCTCGAGATTCTGTGTAGTCTCTCTGTTGACCTTGATGTTCTGAGGTATACTGGTAAACTTTACTAGTAACTCTGCTTTGCATTCCAGTGGTAAAGTGGTGTGTGTTGATAACAAGCCACCATTCATCATTTTACATGTCAAGTTACTGAACTGTCAGTTGCCATGTAGTTGCTATTTATTTTTGTAGAAAAGTTAATAGTTAAATATTTTAGACCTTATCTTCAGTGGCTTTAATAGTGTCCTGCCATTTTAATATCATAAATGTCAGGAAGTTAAAAAAGTTACTGAATAGGAAGTCTCAAATGGCTTGATTCTGAATTTCACAAAAATCTGACACTGTATTTTCTTGTTCTGTTAAACTTGAATTCTAAATACATGCATTTATGATCATTCACAGATAACAAGAAAACATAATTCAAGAGGCAGAATAAATAAAAATTTGGGCTTCTGGCAGAAAATTTGTTAATTCCTCAACTAGAAGTTTAGCTTTGTGAATATGTCGGCTGCAGTTCAGATCTGTGATATCAACCAAAATGTGTTAGTTAGCACTGACAGTAGAACTGGAATGTAAGATTTCTAGCTAAATAGGGATGAGTGATTTTTCTTTATTTAGAGGGGATTTATTCATTTAAAAAAGAAAACATATGGTGGCAGTATGTCAGGGTGTGGAAAGTATAAGCTTGTAAGGGAATTAAAGGAAGAACACAGCATTTGAATTTCAATGTACTCTGTATTATGTACTTGACATGTAAATATTAATACTTCAAAAAATTAATATAATTTTAATATTTTTTATGAACTGTGCATATGGCTTATTCAAGGGTGCAGGGTGTTTAGTAAAATACAGTATTAATTGGTTTAGACAGATGGACAGACACAAGAATCTTGCTAATAATTTTCCAAATAAGGAACTCTAAATGAAGAATTATATTCCTTTTCCTGTTTGTAGAACATGGCTGGTTCAATGTCTTTACTCACTTTTGTACACTAAAGTTGGGACTCAGTAACTGTTAAAATCTGAAAGACTAGTGAGTATTAGCTGGAAGATGAACTTGAATATTTTGTTTTACAGTTAAGCGCACCCCACACACCATGCTGAGGATAAACAGCATCCAAGTAAAACCAGAAGTCAATGTCAAGAAGGCTGTGGAAGGGCTTGAAGGCAGAATATTTTAAGCTTCACAACCGAAATGTAAAACAGCATGTTATTTAATCTTTTTTTTTTTGTTAATAAAATATTCTTTTTGAGAGAATAAAACATCATTATTATTATTATTATTATAATAAAAAACAAAGTTCTGGGTCAGTTGGATAAATTGCTGCTGGCCCTCACCAATTGTCATTTTTGGTTTTGAGTCATGTGGGACTCATGACCATATTTTACTGTCTCATGACTTTCTCTCTCCACTGAGTTTTAAGACTCCCAGAGTTGTGAAGCATTAAAGGGTCATTGCCTAGCAACAATGGGGAGGGGGGGTGGACATAGACAGCAAGGTTATCTCACAAACCCCTTAATAAAAATATGGGGGGGAGGTTACACAGATGGACAGACAGCAAGGTGATCTAATAAGCTTCTTTTAATTTTTTGGAAATAAGGAAAGTAGGCTAAAATGGACAGAAGTCTTGAAGCGTGGAGACTGAGGGCACGGATTCATTCACCTCATTCACCTTCCATTGCATTTAAAATTGATGAATGTTTATATGTAGGTCATACCAATTTTTTTTGCATGCAACCTGGGAACAGCAGATGACAGAGAGTATGGTGGTAGGTGGAACCAGCTGTTGTGTTAACCTTGAGTGTCTTGTGATGTCAGTAGCTTGCATCACATGACCAGTATCACTCCTAACAAAATGGCCAACAACCTTATGTGGTTTTGCCAGCGTGCTGTCATTGAATTTCTTGTGAAAGAGGAAATCCCTGCTGTGGAAATTCACCAGAGACTTCAGCATGCTTATGGAAGTGTGTGCATGGGTGCAAGCAGTGTTCGAAGATGGGTGAAACATTTTAAAGATGGGAACACCAGCATCGAAGATGAGCCTCGGAGCGGTCGTCCTCGAACAGCCTCAACTGAACGTAACAAGGAAAGAGTGGATGAGATCATTCAAGATGACAGGTGTGTGACTGTGGACACAGTAGCCCAAAAACTTGGAATAAGGCACAGTGCAGTACAGGAGATGATTGAAAGCTTGGGCCATAGGAAAGTTTGTGCTCGTTGGGTCCCGCAGTTATTGACCGAAGACCACAAAGGACAGCGAAAAGCCAGTACCTCAGAACTGCTGCAGAGATATCGACACGAAGGCGATGATTTTTTTGCTCTGTATTGTGACAGGTGACGAAAGCTGGTTTCACCATTTTGAGCCCGAAATGAAACGGCAGATTATGGAATGGCACCATTTGAATTCTCCAGCAAAAAAGAAGGCAAATGCACTGCCATCAGCTGTGAAGGTGATGGGCACAGACAGTCTTCTGGGATGCAAAGGGGTTTATTCTGGCCGAATTCCTGGAACCTGGGCAAACCATCAGTGCTGCTCGTTATGTCCAGACACTGCACAAGCTCCATCGTGCATTGCACGATAAACGTCTGGGACGAAACATCATCCTGCATGACAACGCTCACCCCCACGCCGCTCGCCTCACATTGGAAACAATTGCACATATGGGGTGGGAAGTTCTTCCACACCCCTCCTATAGCCCTGATCTGGCACCCTCCGACTACTGTCTTTTCGGATTTGTGAAGGATCAGCTGCGTGGACAACGTTTTGAGACAAGGGAGGCAATTCAGAAAGCAGTGCGTTAGTGTCTTCGGATGGCTGGAACGGAATTTTACAGAAGGGGAATTTTCAAACTCCGAGAACGCTGGGAGAAATGTGTACAAAGAAGTGGCGATTATGTGGAAAAAATAAAGATCTGTAGATTGAGGTGGTATATTTGGTTTCTCAATATAAAGCATGTTACTTTACAAAGAAATTGTTGCTCATGACTTTCAGTACGACCCTCGTACATAGGTAATTTAATGATCAAGAATAAAGTCATAATGTATGGTAGAATTAATGACAGACATTTTATTATTTAATTATGAGACGTGTTCAAATGGAACCCTTTCAGAGATTGTTCAGGGTGAAAGAGCAGAGGATGTTAAAATAGTCCCCATGGGCAATGAGGCAGGATCTCATTGATGTGCCAACCAGCAGATTCCACAACCAAGGAACTCCCTGGGTTGCTGGTGGAACCACGGTAGGTTTAACACCTTCATCCAACCTGAATTCATGGTCCTTTAATGCTTTCTTGAGGGGGGTGAGCAACACGGAAGTCACCCAGTGACCAGTCCAGGCTGTATGGCGGTTGGTCAGCACCTTCTGTTGCATGAAGTTCAGTGTGTCCTGAGCAGTGCAAGCCACATGAGGACAAGAGTTGGTGTACCACACCATGACACACCTCATGAGCATACTGGGAAGTATTCTCTTGGTGGATATATGAAGGAATGAGGCTTGGAAACAAACACAGTGTGAGGGTGTGGAATGGATTCAACTCAGTCAGATTGGGGTCCAGTGCTGGGATTTTGTGGGCACAGTAATAAATCTTCATGTTGCATAAAAGCAGGAAATTACTTGACCAGCTGCTCAAGGAAGATTATGCACCACATAGTTAAATTGATTATAATAAGGCAGCAGAAAGAAGTCCCATGGATGTCACTTGAGGCTTTGCACACACTGCCTAATGTTCTTTGCCTGTGACCTATGTCAACCAGCCAAATGAAGAATGAAGTTGTCACTACTGAAGGTTATCACTACCAGCAGATTGGCTAGAGGATGGAGGGCAATATAGGCGATTACACTGGAGAAAGAGTAAAAGATTGAGGGAGATGTGCTGAGGTCAGTCCATGGGACTTCTTTCTTTGGCCTCAGTGTAGGATCAGATACAGATCTTCATTACAGACAGTAGGTGTGACTGAAATGTAACAGAGGCTGATGTTTGTATTGTACTGTCTAACCATGAACCTGACACCACACTGTCTACTTCCAGCGGTACAGGGGGGTGCGTGTATCAGATCGGCTGCGACTCTGATTCGTCGAGTGCTCCTCCTGAGATGCCAGTTCTTCATCCAGCAACAGGTCAAAGTTTCCAAGAGCCTCAGGTGATGGAACCTTATTCCAACGAACACTGATAACAGAGCAAATGCATGTGAAATAAGACAGCAGTTACAAGTATGGAACTGGAAAGTGACCATATTTTGAAATTAATCTGTCAACACACGACCCAATAATCACATTGAACATCATAGTCTTATTTATATTTTGGAGGTCCTGGGTTCAGGTCTTGGACCAGAGACTGGCTATTCTGCTAGTACAGTACCAAAAATTAGGCAACAGCTGCTTCCTTCCCCATCCTTTCCAGTTCATTACACAGTAACTATTCAACATTATACAGTCTGAGAATTAAATAAACCAACACTTGCCCCCAACATTCCCCACTACCAGATAAGAAGCTTCTCTGACTGTGAAGTGGAAACAGTCATAACCTACACCCATTCTAAACAAATCGTATACAGGTAAGTCTAACCCTGTGTTTAAACAACATGCCAAGAAGAGAATGAGGAATGTGAAAGCAAACTTCCATACATTTCCAAATATTCGTGTCTGTCTTCCATGCAACTTACATTAGAGTTTAAATTAAAAGTTTAATTTTTAATTAAAACTCTCAGTTCTTTCACAATATTTGTCCTATTTTACACAACATCTGTCAGCCTAGATGGCCATCATGAGGTGCACTAACATTGGTTTGGTGAAACTGCTGCACTTCATGCACCATCATAATGCTTTTTTTATGATTCAGTTCTGAATTCTGAAATGTAGTTTTCCTTTATGCACAGTGTGTGTTTGTGATTGGTGTATAAGTAAAATAGGACAAACAAAGTGAAAGAATTTAAAGTTCTAGTTAAAATTAAATTTTGAATTGAAACATCTGATTTAAGTTGCATAAGACGGAAATGAATATTTGGAAAGAATACAGTGCAACAGGATGCTGAAATACATTATCCATACATTATTACACCTAACATGGCAGTACATAACATAATTTGCAGCCTGAACTGAATTTTAAATCATATTACACAATCTTGACTACATTTTACATGGAATCCTAATAACAAAATTGGAAAATTTTCAGATTTTGCATAGGTATTATGCCTAAACTTAATATTGGGACTTCTCTATAAAATGTAAGTCTAAAACAGTGTTTCATGATTACAGTGTCAAAAAAGGTATGTCAGTTATAGTGACTGAAGTGTCTTACCTCTAAATTAGATTCGTTTAGTCTGAGACTGCTCAAATTATCAATTTTGTAGGTCACATACTCACTCTGGAATGCCATCAGGGGGCAGCACCACTGAAAGGATGTTGTCAATGAGTTTGTATTTCAGAATTCGGTCGTTCACAGTGGTAGATGTCAGTGAGGGAGATGCATTCACCTGCAAAGAGAAATGTCTGACAGCATTGAGGGAGAACAGTGTTTGAACCAGAGCTATTAATAACCATTTTATGGGGGGACAGTTTGTAAATAATGCTGCCAGTATCCAGACTACATAGTTAGTTAGTTATTGGAGAGGGTGGGTTTCCCCATGCACTTAGACCTGTATTGGTCCATTGTGCTTCCCTCTATGATTTCTACCAGTCTCTATATCCTACCGGTACTGGTGCTTACCATCATTCCCGCCCAGCCAGCAAGACTGGCTCTACTAGCTGAGAGGTATCTATAATGCTTTCCCCATCTACCAAAGGTATTAGAGACTGTTGTTGGGCAGGAAACGTCCGTAATTTGGCTCAGTGACCTCCTTTGGAGATATGAGGTTGTTTTACGTGCTGTAAAGCTACGACACGGGACCCTCCCAGAGGACTTGTTCCCTGAATTTTTCCGCCCTTAAAAATTCGACGACCTCCGCCAGGTATTTGAACCCGCGTACTACGAGTTATGAGGTGGGAACGTTACCTCTAGACTACGGAGGCCGCTATCCAGACTACATAGTGTAGCAACTATCTTCTGGAATGTGACACAGTGTAGTCTGATAAAATGTTTACTGACTTTTGGAACAGGATCTGCTTGCAACCTGCTTCTTGGTGGTTTCTTGCTTAGCTTACTCTGCAACCTTGGAAGATGCAGGCAGTATGTTCCTCTACACCACTGGTGAACTCCTGCTGATTGCAGGGCATTATATCCCAGCAGACAGTAATCTTCAAACAGCATTTCCCTTAAAACTTTCACCCTGACATATTGAAGAATGGACATAACCTCCACATTAGATTTCTTTTGTCAGTATTTCAGATTACATGAATTTTCTCAGTTCTGTCTGGAGAAGAGGTTTCCTACACATTAACTGTACATCTGTTTAATGGGCACATACATTTGAAATTCAAAAGAACACAAGAGTTTAGCACTCACTTGAAGGAAAGAATAACCAACTGCAGAATGTGCATATTCAAGCATAACCCTAGTGACCATGCTAGATCCACACAAGTATATTCAGGCCTGATTCTTAAAGGGATGGAAAGTGACAAAAGACAGACTGGTTAGAGCTTCAGCAGGCTCAGAATCTTAGTGAGGAGTTCAGTAGTGAGCTACAGGTTTTGTGATTCATCAAAGAAGTGACCTGATGCAATATAGAGGTGACTTGAAGTAATCTGGAAGCCACAGATTGAGAGTTTGAGGCACAGCTGGTGGCAGCAGAAGCCTGATTAAGGATGTGAAGGTAGAACAAAAGCAGGGACCAGTGCCACCATGGTGAAGTTGCTGAAATTTGAGAGAGTCACATCATAGACATTGTTTCACCAACAGTTTTAGGTCATGGCAGCGTTTGGGCAGCCCAGAGAAAGCTCTGCATTTACATGGCATTCTGCTGAAGAAAGCTGTTAACATACTACAATATATCCCAGCTGGAGCAATATATGAGGAGTGTCAGAGCGCAGATGGGCTATTATGCACATCACCAGCTGGTGGCAGCCCACCAGTCATAAGACAAAGCCAGACCAAGCTGAATGCCAAGTTGCTACAGGAATTTGCAGCAGCCATCAATCAGTTGGCTTACTGGGCCCTTGTAAGGTTACCCAAGGAGACAACCTGTGTGTTCACTGATGGAATGAAGGACTGAGAAATGAAACAGCACCATCTCATGGCTGGCAAGAGGTCTCTCAACCCCTTAACTAAGCCCTGAGGCTTAAGGCTTCAGAAACAATAGCCAAACCACCACAAGAAGTAAGGGCTGCAGCCACACTGGGAACACAGATGTGGGGATGTTCCGGATCTCAGAAGAGACTGTCATGAGATACATAATGAGGACTGACTGGGACTCAAGAAACAAGTAAAGAGGACACCAGGATCATCACCTTCATCCCCCCATTTCACACTGAACATGTTGGATGAGAGGAGTGACAGCCTACATGCCAGGGGCCAGAGTGAGGTTACATCCCGCCTTGTGATCCTTGTCATCAAGGCATCTGTGATGAGTACCAGATTTGACGTCATGTCAAGACTGCCCAAGATGAAGGTGATGCTGGTACTGCTGACTGTGGGACAAAGTGCACTACCCATCTGGGTGTTTGTTTCAAACATCAAGGACAAAATCATCCTGGGGCTGGATATCCTGTGACCTTATGATACCATACCGTATTTGAAACACAGTGTGCTATGAGTGGGTGAAACAGAAGTGTCACTGTTGTATGCCATGTCATGACCATGATTTATTCTCCGTATGGTGATCAGTGGTGACATAATACTGGTTCTGTGGCTTAAGGGTCCCCTGGAGGCATGTAGTATGACCAAGTTCAAAATCTATTCACTGAGGACTGATCAGGGCCAGGATGCTGGATCAATATCGATGACAGGCAACTCTCAGGAGGGCTGAATATTGCCAGGGGTGGGTGCACTGCACACCAGTGTAGATGCACTTTCCAGAAGACTATGTGAAGCTTGCGCTCACTTCCAGAAAGTTGAATGGCAGTCAGACAACCAAAAGTTACTGTGTTGCCACTGTGAGTTGGTGGGACAATGCTGGCCTCAGAAGCTGGATGATTATATACCTGCTGTTTGGAGCATCCCTAAACAAGGAGAAACCTATGACCAACTACATGGCAGACCTCATGAAACAACTGCATGACAGCCATCATTATGCCTGTCAACATCTGAAGGTGGCCAGCAACATGATGAAGGCTTCTTATGACCACCTGCTAAAGCAGCTGGATTGCAGGAAGTAAACTAGGTCTGGTGGCACCAATTAAGGGGAGAGTCACTTATGGTGCAGCAGTCCTTGGAAGGCTTTTACAATGTTATCACATGGATCAATTATGTAGTCTACAGGATCCCAGTATCATCACCGGGTGAAGATGATGGTAGTCCACCTGGATAGACTACTTCTATATCTAGGTGCTACTTGGGATTAGCATCCTTAGGGAGGGAGCAGTAAGCATGGGAAGGAGGTGGGTCACATGCCACCATGTGCAAGCCTCTTGTTCATCGAAGTTTCCAGAAATCCCACCTTTTCTCACATCTTTCAGTGCCTCAGTGCCAAGTGCGCCTCATCTCTTGTGTGTGCAAGGCAATTGAGTCCAGTCTGATTGTAACCTTAGAAGGGATGTACAATGTGTGTGCATGCATATGTGGGCGGAGGGGGTAAGGCGGTGGGGTGGGGAGGGAAAAACAGTGTGATAGTGCAAGAGAAGCAAGATGTGAAGCTGACATTGCAATGACTCACAGGATGTTGAGTGCAAGACCAAGGAGAAGCAAGTGCAGTGGCATAGAGGAAAAAACAGTGGTGGACTAGAAAAGCCAATGTGAAGAAGATATTACTGGCTAAGTGACAATCAAACATTTAATGTTCCAAACCAAAATAGATGTTAAAATACTGACAGACATTTTATAAACTTCAATAATAGCTACTGTTTCTACACTATGAATATACACGTACATTACTTTTTTTGCCATATGCATTTTGTAGTCTTTCATTAATATGTGACCGCATGTCATTCCGATCTGAAATGCTACAAATGGGCAGAACTCTCAAAATAACAATTCCCTTCTTTAATTACAGTCTCTACAGAGGACCCCTCAACTGATTCATTAACATAATGTATGCAAAATCATAATTTCATTGAATATAGTAGCCTGTCAGGAATGGAAATTTATTTTTGGGCCAGAGTTGAGACTGCAATGCCACCTGGTGACCAATCCCGTAGCTACATTTCCAGCTTTCTGCTGAAGACACTGCTTAGACATCCCAGCTAGCCTTAGGTTTATGTGTATACAAATGGTAATACAGACAGGAATGTTTTAATTAAATTAAAGAGTAGTGAAAGAAATAAAATAGCCACATTCCAGATTATGGTCTTCTGGTATGTGATGCAGGTCTTACAGTTTTTCAGATAATTAAATGCAAGTTTTTGTGAAGTACTGTAATAATCTGGCCTGATACTAGTGACTTTTAAAAATAAACTTGGCACTGAAAGGGTTAGGAACTGGGATAGTGCAGTCAGTATAGTGACTGGCTAAAGGCTGGATGACCAAGAGGTTAGAGTTCAAGTCCCAGTGCAGACCGGCTCTGGGGTCCACCCAACCTCCTATCAAATGGGTACCGGGGGCTCTTTCCCCAGGGGTAAAGTGGCTGAGGCGTGAAGCTGACCACTCATCTCCAATTAGTGCTGAGGTCAAGAAAATGTGGGTCTATACATCCACTCCCCTATGCGCCTTCATGGTGTAGTGCTTAACTAATTAAGTACAGGGACAACTTTACATTGCCGAAAAGGTTAACAAATTACATAACAATTCTTCTATCAGCGTCATGGCATATCTGCATGAGTAACACAAAATGGGAGACAGTAACCACCTTGCTGACAGAAGCTGAGAGAGCTAGGCAATGAAGTACATACCTCAACAAGCCATGGCTTTAGTTTATTGTCTATAATGATGTCATAACCATAGCACTCAAAACAGTGCCTGTCGTTGGCCATGACAGGAGACACGGCTTTCAGCGAGTGTACAATGAGCCAGGAGATGGCAGTGAAGAGCTGTTCTGTGACCTCCTTGCCCCATGTACTCTCTAGGTACAACCGCAAGTTCTGAACACTCAGCTTACCACCATGCATACAGTTGTACTCGCCCTGAAATGTGTGCATGCAAAGGGAACCAGTGAAGAAACCTATGAAGTGGTACCTTCCTTACATGAAACACCAAGAATGACAATTATAGTTTACTTCCACTGTGTGTTTTAGTTGCAATTTAAGCTCTTCAAGCATTTGTCATCATTCCATTTAAAAATATCATGTCTAGAGTCTTCTGGGATGCAACATCACATTTTGCTTGATAAATGGGTACCAACAGTTTGGAGGAACCTGTTGCCTCCATCTTTACTCTTCCACCCTGAAGATGGAGAGAGGATGTTCTTCCAAAATGCTGGTACCCATCTACCAAAGTGCATGACACTGCATACCAGAGGACTGTAATATTGGTACTAACTGCTGTGAGAACTTCAGACACAATATGAAAAATTAATGGTGAAAACTGTAAAGATGGACACAAGCAGCAAAATTTGGATACATCTGTTTTATTCCAAACATTCTTCTCCACCACATGACTCTACCCATCGAATAGCACTGCATTTCACAACCCCACCCTAATTTTCCACCATCAGTCCCCTTCTCCCCTTACCACCTCACATTCATACTCAAGACAGTGACTGAAATGTATGCCATAATATTGGAATAACCACAGTATACAAGGCAGCTGAACCACAAAAGCCGAAGTTACACAAATGAAACTGAGAAGAATAAGTTCGGTTAATGTTTTCATTTAACTATTACTGTGTTGTTTATGCTTCAAAGTATGTCCTGAAAGCTAATTAGTGTAACTCAGTACAGTTCCAGAGCACGATCTCATGCCAGAAAAGAATGTAAATTGTGAAAAAAACAAATGGCAAGGAAAAATAGTGATCTAGTGGGATGGCACAGCAGCAGACTGGAGTAAGTTACACAACAAGATGCTTTGCGATTTATATTGCTCTAATATTGTTAGTGTGGTTGGATCAATGAGGATGCAATCGGCTTGATATATATTTCAGGTGTGAGGAACAGAAATACATACTTTTTTGTACTCAAGTTCGAGATGAACCTTCATTTCTTAAGACTGAAAATGTGGAAAGAGAACCTAGTCTTATGTTTGTATAAATATGATAATAAACAGAGGAACAAATTTCATGTAGAGATTGAATTCTCATTTATTACATGTGGGCACAACATTAAATGAGAAACACTAATATGTGGAAAATATACATCATATGGGATGTTGGTTGGCCTAAAACAATTAACGCAAAACACTGTAAAATACTAGACAGAGAAAGTTTAAATCAAGATTTTACTGTATGGAATTTTGGCACAGACTGATGTTAAACACAGATGGGAGAATGATACAGTGGAACCCCCATTCAGTGTTCTTTGTTTTCAGGTTTTCTATCATTTGAAAATCAATTTCAATAATCTCAGTGTTAAATACCCTCCATTTTAGAGATTTCTCAGATTAGTCCGCAAATGCAATGCTTGGGTGGCATTAGCTGAGGTGTGGATAAGTAACTCAGCTGCTAAATGTCTGACTCTACCTCATGGGTTGCATTAACAGGGAAACACACTGGTCATGCATCATATGACAAGCCAGTGATTCACTTTGGTGTTAAATGTATTTATTTTTTACTTCACCAATCTATACCCTTAACAATGAGTTACTTAATTTGCAGAAGGGATGAGGCATAATGATGTGCTCAATTTCTACCTTGCATCAATTTAACCACGACTAGTATAAATTTATTATAACAAATTTCTGAAGTTGCAAAACATGTCTGCTGACCAGTGAAGTCGCAACAAAAGCCCCTTGAGGTGACTCATATCAGTGATTCATTACTTCCAAGCAGTGGCATCAGTTTCTCATTGCTAATTGAATGGATTCGAACAGAGTTCATTACCCCTACATCTAGTGTAGGCAATCTTATTGGTTAAAACCAATGAAAGTCACATCATCCTATGTACTGCGTTTCACATCTGGAAGACATCAGCTGCAGGATCTACTCCGACAGCTGGACCCCTCCCGACAAGACTCACCATGGCAGAAATTGCCTTCTTTTCAGATTTCTTGCTCCAAACCCCACAAAAGAATTCTAAGCTCCACAGCATACTTGCTTACCTCAAGCCCAATTACTAAAATGATAACAGAAAGGCAAACAATTAAATATGCCTAAAATTTTAGGTTGTTACAAAATCTTAAAATTGCGGTTTCACTGTAATAGTAAACTGGAACATAAAGAATAGTGATATAGATACAGCAAAGTTGGGACACTCACACCATGCTTTTGGATGGACACATTTGTTAGGTGGATATACATGTTGTCCAGTTCCTGTATGCTTGTGTCATACTTGACAGTGCAGAACCGACAAAACCCCAGCTTGAACAGGTAGCACTTGAGGGGTCGGAAAGAGGTCACCAGCACATACAGTCGCAGGTCAAATTTCTTGCCTCCAATTAACAGAGGATTGTCAATATATCTGTAACAGTTCATAATGTTGCATCTCAGCATCACCCTGCAGCTGGTAATCCATGTTTTCATTCTACAAAAGTATTACTTAACAAACGCTGTATACTTTTCAAATAAGTATTTCTATATTTTACTTCAGGATTCTATGTTAAGTGGCACTAATGTTCCATCTCACTAGAATACTGTCCATGTGAAGTTTTGTAAAACTCAGTCATCTGGTTCAACAGCTAAAATGATGGGGAACACAGACATGCATACAGAGAGCATGGTGATCTCATAAACCCAGTTTGTTTCCTTAATGAAGTTAGGTTAAAAGTGAAGAAAGGAGAGGAACAAATTGCAGAAATTGGGAATGAAACCAAGGAGGCAGAAAGAAAAGGAAACATCATGCCTGCAAGATATTTAAACAGAACTTTAAAGCAATGTTGTAAGAGTATTTAAATATCCCATCTTTGCAGGATATGTTTTGCATTGAAGGGAATGTCATTTAGACAGCTCTTACCTGGATATGACATAGGATTCCTTGACAAGGGTGGGATTGAAAGGCGTTTTGCTCTCACGAGACCACCGTTTCAGCTTAGACAGCTTATTGATAAGGAATATGCCTGCGCCCTGAGACTTGCCACATGGCTTCATAATCCACGTGCTTTGTGGATTCTTCCGGTACTCTTCCACGAACATGTTGTAGTCTGTATCAGTTCAGAACAAAAGGTTAAATATCAGATGATTTACTCAACTTCAAGATTCATTGAAGAAGCATACAACAAAATAAGCAGAAACACATCTACGCACACAAGTTATACACATGATACATGATGTTACAGGAAAGAAAGTCAAGTAGAAAACTGTCTTCTGGGAAATATCACTGTGCAGTATGGTGAAAGTCAACCAACGTTTTCCAAGAACATATCGCCTCCAATGTCACCTGCTTTCACACTGGTATCTTGCTCAGACTATTCAACCCTGAAGATGGAGGTGATATGTTCCTCCAAAACGTCGATTGACTATGAATGGATTACATGGTGTTATATCACAGAAGACAGAACTCTTCATAACTACCGTTGTGAGACTCTAAAATCTCACAAGTAAAAACTGATCAAAATAAGACAAGTGCAATACATAATTCTGCTTATTAAGATGCATCAAATAAAAATGAAATTATGCCTCTAACCAAAACACTTTCCATTCAGTAATATAACAAAATACTGAGTTAAGTACATTGCTGCATGAATATCTGAAGTTCTTTCTTCTTCTCCTTCTCTTCAAGTGGCATTCAACAACTTAACCTTCTTTCCTGGGAACATCACAAATATATTCAGAGTCCTGATCAATATTTGATAGCAGCTGCCCTGAAAACATCAAAATGCAATGGACATCATTGTTGAGTGGATGGCACTCATGCTTTGTATCTGGCAGGTCCTGGGTTCAGATCTCAGCCTACAACCTGGCTACTTTGAGTGAGGTTTTATTCGACTCATGCTTTGTATCTGGCAGGTCCTGGGTTCAGATCTCAGCCTACAACCTTTCTACTTTGAGTGAGGTTTTATCGGTTTTATTTAGTGTCTGCAGGGAAATTCTGGGATAGTATCGCAAATTAGGTTATGATCACTTCCTTCCACAGTGCTTCCAAGTCATTATTCACTAAATCATATTAACACATCTGTATTACAAAATAACTAACTAGCTAGCTAATTTCATGGAGCTGACCCCTTTTTAAGAAGCTGCCAGTTGTGCACCTACTCAAGGACTTCCCAACATTCTATGGAATCTAAAGGTTCATTACTGTGTTAACAAGAGCCCTTCACCAGATCAATGCAATCTATACTACCTCATCCTATTTCTCTAAGATTTAATTTAATATTACTCATCCACCTATGTCTTGGCCCCTTTCCTTCTGGCTTTCCCACCAATATCCTATATGCATCTGAGTTACCAACAGCCTTGTTAAATTAACTATAAATACAGAAAAACGTGAAAATTCACGTAGCCATTAATGCCTATGTGTGAAAAATCTTTCTCTGACTCTGCTCAGTATTTACTGCACCCTACACAAGAAAACTTACTTCAGTCTTCATGTAAATTCTACTGGGCGAAGTTCATGACAAACTCTAAAACTTTTTAAAAAATTATTTATCATGAGAAAAGGTGAGGACACATCCTTTCCACTATGCAGGAAATGCATTCAATTTTTTGCCCAAAGAAGCACTTATTTAACTGATAAACATGGGTGCTGACAGCAGGGGTCAATCCAGGCATCTGCTGCCCATGTAATTTTGGAAATAAAATTAAAATTGAAAAAAAGGATGGTTATACATAAATTCTTTTTTGTATAGGGACCCAAAACTAGGGGGATATATAAAAATATACTTAAACGGTCTAAATGTAAGTTCATAATCAAATTTTTTGACTGCCTTCCCTTGGAAAAAATTTTCATGGCGTCAATAATGACGAAGTTAAATTCCAATGCCCCCCACCTCCAAATATTAGTGTTATGAGAAATTATTCAGAATGTTGAAATCAAAAAAATATGGACAAATATGATTTACTCATTACAAATCAGTTGTGTGTATTCTGTAAAATTTGTACATAATAACTATAAATTTTCAGTGATGTGTAGTGACTGAGCTAGGTTGGTAACCTTGTGGCATTTGCCTGGAGGGAGAACAGAGCACTTACCATAGTGATAAGCATTTACCTGCGGGCAGCACGAAGGTGACTGGGATGAAATCAAGATGCAAGTAACGACTTGGCACATCACCTCGTTCTGCTAGAGGGTCCTTCTCACGTTCTAGTTCCTTGCGGTAGCGTTTGATGTTCTTCACAAGTAGATCCTTGCGTGACAGCTCATAGTGATTTGGGAAGTGGTTGATGATTCTATATGCAACCAAATGGGGCACACAGGAGTGTAGCTCACTGAGGCACCATGCTACAAGCCGGAAGATTGTGAATTCAATTCCCAGTGAGATCACCAGACTTTTCAATTGACTTAATTCTTGCAGCTGCACTATGACCCTGGGGTCAACTGAGCCTCTAACAAAAATAAGTATCAGGAATCTTCTCTGGGGGTAAAGGGTGGCTGGTGTGTAAGGATGACAACCTCATCGTCATCTGTGAGTTGACTCAGGAAAATGTGGGAGCTTTGATGTCTCACAACCTTATGGGCCTCTGCAGCCTGTTATAGGGATAGCTTTATCTTTACCTTATATGCAACCAAAAAAATATAATTTGTGAGACTCACTAACTCTGGTAAGAGAACCTGAAGGGCCAACAGTCATAATTTGAAAGCCCATGAATGGACACTATGCTGAACCATTTCCAATCAATTCACACTGTTCCCCAAAGTCTACTTTAATATGATGCTGAGAATGATTAAAACAGAAGACAAGCTTATGCCAAAAATGATTGAAAATTACTAATACATACAACATTATGTCCCAGGAGCTCAGTCAGTATAGTGACAGGCTATGGGTTGTAGGGTCCGGGTTCTATTCCCAGCAATGCAAGATATTTCTATCCTCCACCGTTACCATGATAAGCTGCAGGCCCCATCTGCCAACCATCATTCTCATAATCACCCTAACATTGGGAGCAACAGAATCTGTCTCATCGGTACCCTCACCTGAGGCAGGGGGCACAAATGTCAACAGACACTGGACATAGGAAGTACTGGACAAACAACGCATAATCTAAACAATACCGCAGCAATGCAAGATATTTCTATCCTCCACCATTACCATGATAAGCTGCAGGCCCCATCTGCCAACCATCATTCTCATAATCACCCTAACATTGGGAGCAACAGAATCTGTCTCATCGGTACCCTCACCTGAGGCAGGGGGCACAAATGTCAACAGACACTGGACATAGGAAGTACTGGACAAACAACGCATAATCTACACAATACCGTTTCCTGCAATGTCACACAATGAAGTCTGGTACATGTGTACCAACATTAAGGAGGAATATGCTACCTCTTCTCTACCTTAATAACGGAGGTAGCGGATTCCTCTCAAATCTTGGTAGTTATGTACTAAACTACGTGGCATCATATCACCAAGGACTGTAATCTTGATACCACTGTGACAGGATCAGATCTAACATAAACACACAGTTATAATAAGATGATGAGAATGTTGTGCTGCACCATCTTAGTAATATATTTCCACCTCCTCCTTGATCTTTCAAGGTGTTGCTGTCAAACTGGCTTCCTCACAAAAATTCTGTATACATAAGTGAGTGAAGGAAAGTATCTCTTAATACTGTAAGTGATGGATGAAATTAGATGCAACGCATTTCAAAGCCAAATATTAATTAGAGTACTTGGAACCAAAAGACCGGAAGCAACAGAAGACTGAAGAATGTTACACAATGATGAGCTCAATAAGTTTTACTTTATATCTGATGTTGTTATTGGAATGTAATCTGCTTGGATGACATGCAGAGTGAATGCAGGAGGCATGGGGAAAGCTTACAAAGAAAGATCAATTGTGAGTTTAAGCCACTGCTGTATATAAACACAGCAGCACACAATACAGTATACAGTTTATTTCCTCAGCACCAAAACATGGTGAATAATGGTAATTTAAATAAACTGTTCTCATGTACAGGAAGAACACAAACTGAAGCTGCTTGAGAACAGGGTGCTCAGGAGAACTTCTAGATCCAAGGGGTATGATAAAGGAGGCAAGAGAAAACTGTGTAATGAGGAGCTTCATGACTTGTACTCCTCGTCGCATTTAATGGGAATGATCAGGTCAGGAAGAATAAAAAGGACAGGGTATGTACCATACATGGGAGGGAAGATGAATGCAAAAAGGGTTTTGGAGGGAAAATCTGAAGGAAAGAGTACACTAGGAAGATACAGACATAGATGTGAGGATACTATGAAAATGGAAATTTGAAAAGGGCATGGACTGGATTCATCTGGCTCTCAGGATAGAGATGCATTGAAGAGTCTTGAAAACATGGCAATGAATACTGACTCCCATAAAATACTGGGAAATTCTTATGTGGCTCTCCAACTATTGGTGTCTCATGGAGTCTGTTACAAGAAGTTAGTTAGATACATAGGCCGCGCTATAGCTCAAGTGATGAGTCGCTGGCTTCACACCGTGGCGGCCCGGGTTCGATCCCGGGTCTGGTCAAGTGGGCTTTGTGGTGGACAAAGTGGCGCTGGGGCAGGTTTTCTCTGAGTACTTCGGTTTCCCCTGCCAATCTTCATTCCACCAACTGCTCCACAATCACCCTCACCTATCATCTGGGGCTGGTAAAATAGGCCAGAAGTGGCCGCAGTACAAGGGACTTAGTCCCACCCCACTAGCAATAAAAAAATAGTTAGATACATAAGAAAACATAAAATATAAATGGTGGAGCAAAGGTCTAATCATAGACAAGATGATAATATTAAAATGGATCTTAGAAAAGTATGGTGTGGAGATCTGCAAAAATTGAACTGGCTCAGGATAGAATCTAATTGTAGGCTTTTGCAGACATGGTGACTAACTTTCAAATTCAAAAAGAAAATACTTTCACCAGCTGAAACTGCTCAAGGAAGATCCTCCGGCAACACTTAACTAACTTGATGGAGCAGTGTCCTTGTTGAGAAGCCAATATGTCAAGGTCAATCAGCTAGTCAGGAATTCCCAGTCGTCAGTAGGATAGAAGTGACAAGAAGACGAGGAAGAAGATGTAAGAAGATGCTGGATGACCTTGGGGACAGAAGAGGATACTGTCACTTGAAGGAGAAAGCTCTAGATCGCATTAAGTGGAGGAATTGTTTTGGAAGAGACTGTGGACCTGTCGTATTGACAGATTACTGATGATGATGATGATATGGAAGCTGAATGTTCATTACCGTGTTCACAAGAGCCTGCCACCCAACCCTACCCTGGGCCAAATGAATCCATCCTGATTCTTAAAATCTATTTTAATACTATCCCCCATGTACATGTGGTTCATCTATTGGGAATTGAGACTTCTTTCCCCTTTACTTCCTTGGCTTATGATCCATGACTGCATATGTGTGTTGCTCTACTAGTTGTTGCGAGTTATTTGCCGAACCAGTAAACACTTCCCCACTGTGACATAACAGCGGAGGAGCTGCTGCTGGGGCAGCAGGCCAGTAAACACTTCCCCGCTGTGACATAAGTGTAGATGCTGCTGGAGATGACGTTTCCCACTTGTTGGATACACATACATGTATATACATTGGCTGTGGCAGTGGGAGCAGACATAAGACAGTGGAAGCCAACAAAAGCCAGTAGGGGCAGTGGTGTTGACAGAAGCCAGTGGTTAGCCAGCACGGAGAGATGGACAGTTCTACAGTCTAGTGAGAGTTGTTAACACAAAAAGAACGACTGTGAAATGACTTGTTCAACACTTTGTGTTATAGTTTCGTTAAATTGTAGTTATGGCACTGAGTAATAAAGTGACATCGCAAGAATACTCAAGGTCTTGTTTAATATTTTCTGGTGCTAAAACCCGGGAAGAAGGGCTGTGGGATCTTGGTGATCGTGAATGAATTTGTGTCCATCATGAAGCTGTCTCATGATACATTTAGACATCAAGACTTCCAGGGTAAGGAGAAAACAAATACGCCCACGGTTCCTGACTTCAACTTGGCTCTGTCGACATTTCTGACTTCTGACTTTCGACAGATCCCCATGCAGACGATCAACTAGCTTGTGAGATTGTACTTGGAGATACCCTCGCAACTTGACATGGTGGACAGCAAACTCCGAAGGCTATAGAGGAAGCGCTTCACGGCAAGGGCGAAAGTGACAAGGCCCACTACCTTTATAATTGAATCCACCGCCAGCACCCCACTTGAGGATTATGGGCACTACCAAGACCATCTACGGGAGACCTTCGATCAACTAATTGCATTGGATAATGATATTTAGGATCTTTTAGATGACAGTGAATACACGACTGATGTGGAAAAGTGTGAAGAATACATTGAATCATGCCTCGCCTGCATTATGGGGGGGCTCTCGAGAATGGATTGGAACACGTCCCGCCTGCATTATGTGTGGGGGGGGGGCTCTTGAGAAGGAATTGAAGCATGCCCCACCTGCATATATATATTGGTTGTGTCAGTGGAGGCAGACAGAATACAGAGGAAGCCAAGAGGAGCCAGTAGGGGCAGTGGTGTTGACAGAAGCCAGTGGTTAGCCAGCAGAGAGAGCTGGACAGTTCTACAGTCTAGTGAGAGTTGTTAACATGAAAAGAGCGACTGTGAAACGACTTGTTCAACATTTTGTGTTATAGTTACGTTGAACTGTAGTTACAGTGTTGAGTAATAAAGTGACATTGCAAGAATATTCCTGAGGTCTTATTTCACAACATCATCCAAGCAGTCTCTTCCCTTCAAGTTTTCTGACCAAAACTCTGTAAGCTTTCCTCATCACATCCATGTGTGCTACAACCCCTGTCCATCTAATCTTCCATGACTGAAGCACCCTAATAATAAATGGCGAAGGTGCAAATTATGAAGCTCATTATTGTGTAACTTTCCTCACCTCCTTGTTACATCCTCTCCTTTAGGTCCAAATATTCTCCAAAGTACCCTTTCTCAGACACCCTTAATTTACACTCTTCTTTTCATGTGAGGGATCAAGTTTCACACCCATACAAAACAACAGCTAAATTGTTTTGTGTAGTTAAATTTTTATGATTTTGGATACCAAGCAGGAAGACAAAATAACAGAATGGCAGCAAGAATTCTCTGGAATTTAATTTGCTCTTTAGTTTCTTTGTGAATGTAAATTCTGAATTTTTACTCTCATTCCCAAATATCTGTACCTTGTGAAACATTTTAACAAATTTCTGGCAATATTTATTTGCTCAGCATTCTGATGAGAGGATCTGAACATATACTTAGATACCTGACCATGCCATAGCTTAGGCAGTCACTTGCTGGCTTCTTACCGGGGAGGCTTGAGTTCAGTCCCAGGACAGTTCATGTGGGAGCTGTGATGATGAAATGGCACTGGGAAGGATTTCTCTATGAACTTTCTTGTTCCCTGCCAATTATCAATGCACCAGTGCTTCATATATGATTACTTACATATTCTCAGGGTGTGGTATAATAGGCATTTGAAGCCACAGTACCAAAGGACTCAGTCTCAAATCACTGCAACAACTAGTTAGATAGCTGGATAAAACTAATGCTGTATTACATTGCCTTTATTACTCTATACACTGCATTACATTGCCTTTATTGCTCTACAGCAAAACAGTCAAGTTACCTGTGTTTAGGCTCATGTTATGAGGGTATATATAAAATGTGGAAGTAAGGTTCCACATATCATTAACTTCCACGTTACATGGGAGGGAGTTTCTCGTACCAGTCCTATTTTCTTCTGTGAAGAAAGTTTGACTGTACCCTCTGTGTAGTGTTGAAGAGGAAATCCTATGTTGGGTTTCAGGTTCTTATGGTCATGACTGGAGCTTCTGGAGGAACACACTCCCTCTGTCTTCAGGGTTGAAAACCAAGCCAAGCAAGCAGCAAGGATAGCTCAGTTTGGTGCTTGTTTCTTGCTGGTTGCTTGCTTGGTTTACTCTTTGATCCTGAAGATGGAGGCAGTATGTTACTCAAAGACACTGGTGAATTTCTACCAGACTATGTGGGATCACATCCCAGAGATCAGTACTCTTCTAATTCCTCTGCTAAGAAACAAACCCAAGTGTCTCTCAAATTCATATATATTAATGGATCCTTCTGCTAAACTAAGTATGAATTTCTGAGAAAGAGACTTATAATGAAGTTCTGAGGTATTGGCAGCACCAATACTCACTGGTTGTCTGTCATTCTGTAGCCACTATCGACACTGAAAAGTGTACGACATGTATGGGTCCCTGCCCTGCAACACACAGATGCAAAATGAACACGATCATCATAGTGTAAGAACTGAGCAAGTTGCCTCAAGCAATGATGCTTTGGATATGTACCTGGTTACAATTTCGGCCAAGAAAACAAAATCTTGAATGACGTTTTCCATTGTTTTCCACAGTCCTTCCAGTCAAATGCCAGGATAATACATCAATCAAGCCACAACTGTTACCCTCCACATCCTTTTCAGTTCAGTGTTCATTAATCAACTCTATACTTCTAATTTGACCATGATCACTTCCTTCCACATCCTGTCCAATTCATTGATTATTAACTGTCCCATCATTTCATGCTATGTAGTCTGAGACACTGACAATGTAATTAAGCAAAAAATAATAAATAACTGCAGCTATGGTATTGATACCATTTTGAAAAAAAAAATGATGGAGACACAGTGTAGAGTAGTAGGTTGAGGCACTATACTACAAGCCAGAAGGTTGCGGATTCATTCCTGATGAGGTCACTAGATTTTGCAGTTGACCTAATCCTTCCAGCTGCACTATGGCCATGAGGTCGACTCAGCCTCTAATAGAAATGGGTACCAGAAATCTTCCTGGGGGTAAAGGGTGGGCCAAGCACTCAGAAAGAAGTAGCACAAATGCTTGGCATGGAGTGAAAATTCTCATTAACATCTGTTGTGAATGTTTTAAATACATGCATTATGTTCTGAATTAGAATATAACCTCCTGCACCAAATTTTGTCAAGATTTACTCCAATCTGATTTTTTCCATACAGATACATAACATATGCTGCACATATTTTTAAGAAACAGGTTCTGACCATGTGGATTGGGCACACTGTACATACCAGTAGAAGTTCCAGTCATCATCAGGTCCAACCTGGGACCAGCCTCGCTTCTCGAAGTTGGTGATGAGGACAGACTTGTCCAGATCTGTGCAGTAGGTGATTCGCATCTTGTCCAGCACCACCACTCTGTGTAAAGGAACCAGTACTAATCACAAAAATGAAATTGAATGCAGCAAAACCTCCATACATTAAAGGCCTCAATATAATGAAATCACAGTGAGAAATAGAACAATTGGCCTGCATGTCAAAATAGATTACAAGCAGTTCAGGATAAAAAAAACGGTTCAAATCCACTTCACGGATTTTCTTTATCAAATGTTTCAAATACTTGCAAGACTCGAACCAAATACCCACCTCCCGTACATAACTCCATTGCCATACTTTCTGCTTTCAATAATGTTCACTGCAGAAGCCGCCATTGTTTCTATGGCAACCTAACAAATATCACGTCGCTTACAGAATTCACAGGCACAATTGTGACCCTCATAGGTTCCATTCCATTTATTTCACTTTCTAATTGATCCTGATACAGGCTTAATACAAGCCATAGGATATAGAATGGGTCACAAGATCAAAATTTAAGTTACAATAATTACTTGAAACATGTCAAAAACAAAAAACAAAACAAAACAAACATACATGCAAACAATTATAAAACATAAAGCGGACATACATAAACAAATTTACATCGGATACAATAAATATCAAAATTCTAATTCTGGTTCACTTTATTAATAAAATTGACAAAATTGTCACTATAAATCCCAGCAGGCGTTTCCATTGGTTCCGTAGTATAATTGTATGCTGGTTTCAGTCTTTGGGAAGGGGGGTGGGGAGGTTTATAGGTTTTACAGTGACTTCTTGTTTGTGTCGGGGAATTAACAGCAAAAAAACAATCCCTGTCTCTGTTGCTAGGGTTACTTGTTTTATCAATCCCCCTTACAGCGGCGAGTATAAACAATACACCGATGACACTGTGCGAACCGCCGTCCAATCAGCTAGTAGCTCTGATCGTAAGACCCGTAAGACCACTTCCGAAAGGAAGGGTAACAGTGAGAACAGTGAGCCAGTGAGGATGGTGAGGGCCGTGAGGACCGTGATAGCCCATGTTTTATTAAGCGAGCGTTATTACATTTCTATAAACTCGAGGTGTTATATATGTTGAGAAGTGGTCAGCGAAAGCAGAGAGCAGCTTCTGTAACCACATATTACTTGCTTTGGAATAGTAGTCCAGTTTTATCTGTGAAGGAAGTAGGGGTAATAAGAGAGTAGACACCATCGGACACTCTGCGTAGTAAGGTGGTGTTATGTGTAGGTTATTTATTAAGTAAATTCTTATATTTAGTATTTAAATTTCGAATTGATGCAGGTGAGAGTTTAGTGCTGTCGTGATGTTTTATAAGGACAAGCTGTTATCGCCAGCTCAGCTAAAACGCCTTAGCGACCATAAATACAGCTGTTCAAGTATCAGCCTGGTTGACCCTCTTTTACAACCATGGTGGAATTGGCTAGTCAGCAAAACACCACTATGGATTGCCCCAAATTTAATTACCATCTTAGGCCTAATTGTGAACATTATAACAACGCTTATCCTCGTATGGTACAGTCCTGACGCAAAAGCAGAGGTAAGTGTTGTTAAGTAGGGTTATGTTTCAGAATTTTAGGCCATTATTTACGTTACACGGTGTTGGAACTTAACCGTGCTGATTTTAACAGGCACCGAGATGGGCGTGTTTCGTCTGTGCTTTGGGTTTATTTGTGTACCAAAGTTTAGATGCAATTGATGGAAAACAGGCCAGAAGAACAGGCACGTCAAATCCGCTTGGTGAATTGTTTGACCATGGCTGTGACTCCATTTCTACAGGTGAAGAATATTAATACTTCTGTGTTAGAAGAACTGCTTTATAACTGATATAAATATGTATCTGAACAAGTATTATTCCTTTGCAGTATTTGTTGCATTGTCAGCATGTATAGCTGTCCAACTGGGCTACTACCCAACATGGATGTTTTTCCAGTGTTTTTGTGCAATGACACTTTTTTATTGTGCACACTGGCAAACTTATGTGTCAGGTTAGTAACCAGTATTGTCCAAGACTATATTTTTAATTAGGTGACACTCCTTCCTATATTGTAGAACATAAAGTGATAGTCATATGTTTGTGTTCAATTTACTGCTGATATTGTTCAGCAGAGTTTATGTAACAAATAGAAGATATTCCCAGGATAAAGAACATCTCCAGAAAATAAAGTTCCATGAAGTAGTCATTCCTGTTTGTTTAATATAATTTAAGTGTCTCATTGTTTAATTATAAAAAGTGGTAAAAGGTAAAGCTATCCCTGTAACAGGGCTCGGAGGCCCATAGGGTTGTGAGACCTTGAGGATCCCACATAATCTACACAATCGGCTCAAAGATGGCAGTAAGGTTGTCAGTCTTACGTACCAGCCGCACTTTACTCCACATGAAAATTCCTGCTACTCATTTCTGTTAGAGGCTGAGCAATCCTAATAAATGGGAAATTTCCTTACACTTTGTCAGAGGTCTTACAAACAGCCCTGCACACACTTCAGCAGTGGTGTGAAAGAACAAACTTGTCTGTCAATCCAGACAAGATGGTAATTATACCCTTTGCAAGGAGGAGGAATATCAAGGGGCTTAAGGAACCAGTCCTCTTCAGTCAAGCGATCCGGCTATCCAGTGAAGTCAGGTACCTTGGAATAACATTAGACAAGGGACTAACATGTAAAAACAGCTGGACAAGGTCATTAGCAAGGCCTGTAAGGCCTTCTGGACATGCAGAAGCACATTTGGAAAACCCTGAGGACTGAAACCAAAGGTGGTGTATTGGATATACACTGCTGTAGTAAGACCCATAATTACCTATGCTGCTACTATATGGTGGCCTAGAGTTAAACTTAAACAAGCCAGGCTGAACTAAGCAAATTGCAAAGGACGGCCTGCTTGGGAATTACAGGAGCAATGAGAATAGCTGCAATGGAAATCCTACTAGGACTCCCCCCACTGCATTTGCAAATGGAAGCAGAGGCCAGGTTAGGAAATTACAGATTACGTTGCAATGATCAATGGAGACCTAAATCTCAAGGTTTTGGACACACATACATGATTCAGGACATGAAAAAGGGAACAATCCTACAAATGGGATCTCATAAAATGATACCAAAACATGTCTGTAATAAACCCTTCATGATCAGATTTACTGATAGAAATGAATGGAAAGGGGTTTCAACCTGACAGAAAGGGGGGACTAGTCTGGTGTACAGATGGTTCCAAGACAAATAAAGGCACTGGAGCTGGAGTGTATTGTGATGGAACAGGGCGGAAGCATACCTTCAGCCTTGGTCAGTATACAACAGTTTTCCAGGCAGAACTGTATGCCATTAAGGCATGTGGAGTTGAGAATTTAGGTAAAAACTACAAAAATAGGAATATCTATATTCTATCAGATAGTCAAGCTGCAATCAAAGCACTTGGTACACACCAAATCACTTCAGAATTGGTTTGGGACTGCCACCAATCCCTCATACAACTGGCCAGACATAACAGAGTTCAACTGATATGGGTGTCAGGCCATGAGGGTGTTGCCAGGAATGAAACCGCAGATCTGCTGGCCAGAACAGGATCTGAACAACCGTTCATAGGACCTGAACCAGCTTGCGTCATCTCAATTGGAGTTGCCAAGAAAGCGATCAGGGACTGGAGTAACAAAAATCACAAAAAACACTGGGAAGCCACAAATGGACTCAAATAGGCAAAAGGATTTATATCAGGATCCTCTGCCAAAAGAACTTGGGACCTGTTAAAATTAACCAGAAATCAACTAGGATGGGTGGTAGGATTACTTACTGGACCCTGCCACCTAAAAGTGCACCTTTTCAAACTGGGACTAACAGACAACCAAGTTGTGAAAGGTGCCTACAAGAAGATGAATCAGCCACACACATCTTATGTGACTGTGACGCTGTAGCTTACCTAAGATATCACCACCTGGGTCAACTCTTCCTGGAACCAAGTGACTTATATGATGCCCCCATAAATAAAGTCTTACATTTCATTCAGATTGTAGGATTAATAAAGTGTTAATCTGTAGGGGAAGCACAATAGATCATTGAAGGTCACAGTTCAAGGGCCAGTTTCTGTGGCTCACCCCTCATACTCATACTCATTACCCCCCAGGAAAATTCCTGGTACTCATTTCTGTTAAAGACTGAGTCGACCCCAGGGCCATAGTGCGGCAGGAAGGATTAGGCCAATTGAAAAGATTCCAGTGACCTCATCAGGACTTGAACCCACAACCTTCCTGCTTGTAGCATAGTGCCTCAACCAACTACGCTACTGCGTGCCCCCATAAAAAAAAGTGGTAGAACGTAAATATTTTTGTACATTTAATCTTGAGGGTTCATTTCTTATTTGATGTTGGTTTGGCCTCACACTTGGTGTCAAAGTTTTATGCATTTACAAACAAAGCTTCTTTCATCCTACCATTCTCCATGCAACCCATCCATATGCTCTATAACCATTTGTGGCACCCATGAATTACATACTATCATGGTATTAGTGGTCCAGTTAACCATTGCCGCTTCTGAATACGTTGGAAAATTTAACACGTGAAAGCGTGCTGTGAAATAATTGGATCTGTTTCAGGAACACTAAGGTTTGGCAAAATTGACGTGACAGAAGCTCAGATCTCAATAATCGTCATTCATCTGATGTCAGCAATATTTGGCCCTAGTGTCTGGATGATGAAGGTAAGCACTTGACAAGGAACAAAAATTTGAATTGTAGTGACCACATATACATATTTCTGAATTCAGTTTTACTTTATGGTAGTCACAGACCATTATAACCTCCCCTACCTTCCTGCATCCTATTTCTGAATTTGGGGTTTTATATCTTTACAGTATGCTGACTAGTTACATATGCCTCTTTTCATGTTGTCTTCTGGGTTATGACACCAGGTAGTCAGGTAGGTGAATGTCAAGTGTTTCAAAGGAACAAACTGCTTCCATCTTCAGGGTACAGATTCCTACCTGTAATGTTTCTTTGGAACATTAGGACCCATCTGCCAGACAGCTTGTTATCATAACCCAGAAAATAAAACAGATTTTTGCCATTTTTGAAACCTCAGAATTGTTTGCTTGTGAGATACATATTTTTCCACCGCAGCCTTTTCTGGTGGGAGGTATTACATACCATTGGGTTAATTTAATGCAATTTAATTTTGTTGTCATTTTGATTGTATTTGGTCCAGTGGACTAGAATCTCCACAGTAAATGATGTAATATCAGCATATGCCATAGAGGACAAGTACGTGATCAGTGTTTCTTGATTAGGTGCGTGTCCTTTCAGTAGTTGTGTAGTTTCCCAAATACAACTGGTCACTGTACTGTAGAGATATAGTTGCTGTGCTGTGAGGCAGCCTGTGAGACACTGACTACAGTATGCTCTATGTTACTGATGTTCAGTTTACAGAACTTCCATCGATATTATACAGCAAGACCATGAAGTTCACAGGACAGGTCATAAATTACAGATGTGGAGTGATTAATAAAGTTCCCTGTAATGAATACTGCAAACCAACAACAAATTTAACCACATATATTTTTAATAAATGATGTTTGTTAAAATATTACTGCAAAATTCAAAGAAGTGAAAACCAGATGTAACCTGTCAGAATCTTCGAAGGAAGGCTGTAGCTCAAAATGGGCTGTTTTGCTAGTGATTATTATTATTGTTATTATTATATTTGTCAAGAAATTGAGATATGGACATGCCTCAGTAACATAGGAAAGTATGTAGCTGGCCATTGGCTAGCATATGTGTTTGCATCAGTGACGCAGGAGAACAGCTGGGAACATGGTTGTTGTTTCCTCCTTAGTTTAAATTGTGCAGTGATGTCTGGAAAGAGGCCAGCATGTTCAGTATGTAGATACTGTTATTTCTGATGTGTAAGAAGTGCAGTTTATTACAACTGTTGGTCAGAAAGATTTGCATAGGAACACATTTCCACTTACAACATGGGAGCCACCAGAAAAATAGAGTTTCTGTTTTGAAATTTCTTGATAAGGACACATTTTCAAGAAACTTCTCTTCTGTAAAATGGGGGTGTGTTGTAGTAGGTTTTATTATTATCATTATTGTTTTTGTTGTTGTTAATATTATTTTTTAAAGCACCCTGCACAATGTCTGGTGGGGGGAGGAGTCAGCCCCATTGTACAAGTGTATTGAAGGACATGGATACAGAGTGTGTCTACAAAGTCCCTTCGGGTTTTGAAAAAGGTTTTTACTGACCTCAGTAGACCTTGATGTGGGCTCCCTTGGTAGCACAGAGAACTTCCAGACAATATTTGAACACTTCCCATGTTTGTGGAGCATGTCCCCTGGAATAGCTGAGATCACATTCCTGATATGGGTCTTCAGTTAATCAAGTCCGTTAACTGGTGTTTGGAACACGCTGTTCTTGACATAACCCCAGAGGAAAAAATCCAGTGGTGTTATGTCTGGTGAATGTGGAGGCCAAGGCATTGGACTGTCTCTGCTGATCCATCTTCCTGGAAATGTCTTGTCTAGGAATGCGCATACCTGCAGACCCCAGTGAGGTGGAGCACCATTCTGTTGCAGAATGATGTGTGGCTCTAAGTACTCAGTTTGTGGTACAGCATACACTTGCAGCATGTCCAGGTAAGTCTTCATGTTGATCGTCTGCTCTTGGAAAAAAAGGGTCCAGTAACCTGGTCATGCATTACTCCACACCACACGTTCACTTTCAGAGTATTGTGTATGTGCTCCCAAACAACATGTGGGGTTTCAGTGCCCCATATGCACAGATTGTGCCTGTGAACTTTACCTGAGACATGAAATGTTGCCTCGTCTGTGAACATGATTCTTTTCAAGAAGCCCACATCAAGGTCAATGCGGTCGAGCATTTCTTCTATGAAATATTGACATGCCATGCCATCAGCAGGTTTCAACTGTTACACTGACTGAACCTTGTATGCCCACAACCTCAACCCCTTATGTTGCACTTTGTGTATCATTGAACGTGGGAGTAACAATTCATGCGAAGCTCGATGCGTGAATGTTGTAAGGCTTTGTACTAATGATTCATGGATTCTTTCCACACATTCATAGCTTACACCCAGTCTGCTACTTCTCTTGCAATCATGGACGCTCCCAGTTTCTAGAAAATGCTGTTGCCAGTCTCTTATTGCTTTGTCACTTGGAGGTTGCTTATTGAACTGTGTGCAGTAATTTTGTTGAGTCTGGGTGACTGATTTTGTCTCAAAAAGCCATCTTACACAACGTGCAGGTTCCTGCATAGTTGCAAGTTTACAAACAACTGACTGAGAAATGTAAAGATGGCCGCTTATGCCATCTTTTGGTGGTGAAAGAAAACTTCCAGAGTTTCACTATGATCTGCTGCAAACCGCATGTGGCTAGCTCAGTTTGTTTGTGCACCACAATTTTTCAAATCCCCAAAGGGACTTTGTGGACACACTGTAATGTGGCAAAGATTGGAATATGGACAAATCTTGCATAGAGTGTGGACAGTTAATGATGAGCAAACAGTAATAATATATCCTATGTCATACTGTAAGTCAGGTGGTTAGACACTGGTTATTTGCTGTGGTTCCCAGATGTGTCTTAAGGGCAATCTGTGTGAATTTTGGATAGAGCAGCATTAGCGCAAGTTTTTTATTTGTGAGATTTGACATTATCACTGCAGTGACTATGATGAGTACCGTCTTCTGGGATGTGATACCGTGTAGTCTGGTAGAATTTTACATACTATCCTCAGCTTCAGCCAGCATTATTTACTTGTTTGCCTTCTCAGCTTACTCTTTGACTAAGTACATTTCACCAAAATGTCAGTAAATTAATACCAGACTGCACATCATTATATCCCAGAAGACGGTAATCTTCAAGTTCTACTTTGAGTACTATTAGATGGCCTGCCCATGTTCCATATCTCTTTTCACTTGTCATAGGCTGTAAAGTTACCACAACCAAGTCCTTGGTTAAGGCTTCATGTATGACCCAGTACTCAGCTTAGTCATAGTTCTGGCTAAGCTAAGTGTTGCCCAATTTGTTGTACATAAATTTGGATAACTAAGTCATTAAATTTACCCATTATGAATTAGATGATTGAAGTTTAAAGTGTGGTGCAGGTAGGACTCTTTATTACCACATCCAGACTGGCTCTTTTGCCTACCCAGGGGGTACCAGACCTTTATCGTCCTCAGAATTTAATCACTTACAATATTAAGTAGTCCTCTATTTCCACCTTACATGGAGGTTAAACAGTTTGTGGATCTCTATTTTTATTCCTATATTCTTCACCATGGCATTCTTACCTTAAGTGGGTCACCACTGTGTGGAATATCTTTGGGCCAAATGTGGGAAGTATAGTATGTAGTCATGAAAGGTAGTTGTAGATATATTAAATAAGGAGTTTTAGACAGCTGACAAAGGGTAGTTGTTCAAGTTGCAGTTGATATTACAGTTCATAACCCTTCACTGTATAAGATGCTTTGTTTGAAAACTGAGGTATGTTGAGCACTAGTCTGTGTGTGATAGTGATTTGTAAAGAGTAGTCTTGAGCTGTGTGTTTTAAGTCTCCAATAAATCTGATTACCAGTTGACACCCTGTCAGACAGCAGTATCTTTCAGTGTTCTCTATCAAAGTTGTGGTAAGAAAGGGAAAACTGACATGTTGGATTTGCAGTTCTGTCAGCTGTGACTGTGAAGAGTACATACAGGCTTGTGGGTTGTAACGTCATGTAGTTTTGAGAGAACCCAACATTTCAGAAGAACGTATCGCGTTGATTTTTGCGGTCAAAGAGAAAACAGTAGAAGTGGAAGTAGGCTCATCTTTCTTCCTGCTTGCTGTTTTCTTGCTTGTCTTACTTGTCAGCTACAGAGATGGAGGCAGTAATTTCCTCTGAAGCATCAGGCTGTCTCTGGACTACATGGTATTACATCCCAACCCATACTCTTCAGGAAACTTAAAGTTTTATATGTGTTAAGTACCTTAGTCAGTGAATGGTGTGCAGCATAGTGTTGGTATAATGGCATGTATTACCCCGTCAGTAAGTGCCTGAAACCTCTTGTTGGTATGGTAGTGAGCAGTGGTGCTGTAAAGAATGTTTGTCCTGTTTGTGTACTCAGATCACTGTGTCAGATGTTAACCCTCTCTTTCCTGCTTCTCCCACTTTGGAGCATAGGGAATCCATGAAACACTTTCTTTCACTTCAGTTTCTTAATCCTAAGACAGTCGGTAGGACTCCCTGGGTGGGGAATCACCCCGTCACGCAGATGTTAACTGCTGTATATTAATTTTTTCATATAAAGGATGTAGTATAGGCAAGTTTTGTCGTATTTGTCTATATTTTTTTTAGTTCTGTTCTCTTCCTCATCTGACCATCAGGTGTGTTATGAAAGTAACACTCCCTGTTTTAATTTGCTCGTCTCCATAGTTACGAAGCCTTTGCTTGTTTTCATTGCACCATATTTGATAATTTTGTTGTATTGGTTAAAAGAGAACTTTATTGTTCAGTCCACCTCTTCCCTCCTCCTGTTTTAATTGTTAACCTTCTTTCTCTGTATTGTTCTGCATAATATACTGTATCTTCAGTTATACTACAGGGTAGGTTTATGGGTTTAGTTTTCATTCTTCAGTGGTGAAGGATTCTGTATTCTGGGATATAATGTCATGTAGTCTGGTAAAAGTTTACTTTCACCAGACTGC